TGTATATACTACATACAATTGCCAAGCCATATAATGCAACTGTCTAAACATTAGCTTCAGATTAATAAGTATATATATAATATGATATGCGCAGTAATAAAATTTATCTATATACTATATATGTCATTATACTTTCCATATTATTCAAGCGAAAGTAATACAAAGTTCAGCACACCCTGGCACCATGGAACGTCAAAGAAAATCAATTAACATATTATTTACCTATGTAATTGGCAACAAATTCTAGCACAGCCTTAACAAATAATAATAATAAAATTGAGTGTGTCATGGAAAAACTGGAAAACTTAGCTCATTATGCTGAGCTATATATCATTTGAATGTTAAATCGACTTGTTAAGTATTTAAATAATTTATTATTGAAATGATTTATCTGCGACATGATAATGCAACAATTTGTGTGTATATCAAATGCAAATAATATTTATTATTTTGTCATAGATATTCGATAATGGTTTAAGCAAATAAGCCAAAAAGTGAGAAATTATTTAGCATTTAGCATTTAATTTTCACTTTTAAATATTTACTTTGAATATTTAATAATGAAAATGCCAAATAAATAGTAAACATTATTGCAATGCAGATTGCAAATTTATCTAGAATCTTACATAATAATAATAATAAAAATAATTATATAAATATATTTGATAAACATTTATATAAAAATGTCTAATTATGTGTGGTTTTCTCTTAAAGTCATTTGTTCATTTATAAACGCAGATAAGGAATGGAAAATAAGTTTATTCAAGCGATGCAAAAATAATAATAAAATCTATATGCATGAAGTGAGCAAACATAAGCATATGCCTCCTTTGTTTCATATTCTAGGGTATAAATAGTCTGCGCGTGGCATACAATTTGGTTTTTGTCTATAATGAGCATGGGAACCGTAAAAACAGCGGAACGATTTCTCATATGCAAAATCAAGCAAGAGGCAACAGTTCGAAGGTGAGGCAGCAGGGGGATGGCTAAAGCTTTGGCAGGGGTTGGCACAGTGCGAAATTGAAAACGCTCATACATATATATACATATTTATATATATAAATATGTATATTTAAAAAAAATTGTCATTACGTTTGTCGTTTTAATAAGCAATTGCATAAAGCGCAACGTTTATGTAAGCAAACTTGCATGACGGCCCCGGACTGCGGCCCCATGGGACCAAAAACTTTAGTTCCAAGTGCATTCTGAGCACTTTTTGCAAATGATAATCGAGACGGCAATAAACTGAAAGCGATTTTAGAGCGAGCTGCGGGGTGCGAGGTACGTGGTGAGGTGCGCTGTCTGGGAGCAGGTCAATGTCTGGTGGATCTTTGATTAAACAACAAGCGACAGGCAGACAGTTCGATGATATAAGCGTAACTATTAGGGCGAAGGTGTGGTGTGTGTAGTTGTCTGGGCTGGGGCTGGCGCTGTGATTCATTAATGGAAGTGCGAAGATAACATGCAAATCATGATCACGATCATTATGAACGATAAGGCTGTCTATTAACGATAACGTAATTACATTGGGAAATACCGTAGAATAGAAAAGCACTCGAGAAACTTATTTATAAAATATAAAATGTATTCCAACTAATTGAAAAGATGTCTATTGAGATACCAGGAAACGTTAGATAGCGACAGAGTTATAAGGAACTGCTGATATAAGCCCATTTTATCTATAAAGCAAAGCCAGACCAGATCTTAAACCACACGCATTTTGTGATATATAATATTTAATAGAAGTAAGCCATATTATAAAGATATAGCTGCTCACGTTGCTTTTCCATTCATATGAAATGCGATGCCAAAAGCAAATAAATCATAAAAGCAACAAAAAAAAAATGAAAACAAAAACTTCTGTTGCTCAAGCTATACAAAATAACCTCCAGCTGATAAAATCCTAAATTCAATATAAATATAAATATTTATGTAGTAAATTTAAGAATTTGTCGCTTATTTATTTTTTGACTCAGATTTTACTTGTGATAATGTTAAAAAGAATTTCTTAAGCCACTTTTTTTATTGCAATAGAATTATTTTTAGAAATGCCCAGATGACTTCGATAATTGACTTTTCCAATTTTTCTTAAGCAAACAAACGAAGCTAAAGAATAAGCAAAGCAAAATTGCGGAGGGAGTAGTCGACTCAGCTATGCACTACAGCGCCAGAAAATATATAATACATTTATTTTCTGGCGCTGTAGTGCATAGCTGAGTCGGCTCAAATTATTGCTAGCTATAAATTAATAACTATAGTATTAGGTTTTTCTACGATGTCATTTAGTATCTATAGCTGTCACGTTCAGTTATAAAGCTATTGATTGATCTATGCATAAAATAGAACTGATGTATTTAAAGATTAAATTTGCTTAACACTTCAAGTCCTGCTATTCGAGTTCTAAAAGCTGACCCACCGACACGCAACTGTTTCATGGGCCTTAGCGTAATTGACGAGTTTATAAATTTCCTAAACGATCCACACGTGTCGAGCTCTACTATAACAATGAAAATACTGGACTTTGTAGCGCCACACGCAAACATAATTTGCCCAACAAAACAACAAAAAAAAAAAAAAAAAAAAAACAAATGAAAAAAGTGAGTTAAATGAACACGCATAATTCCGCAGCGCAGGTGATTAATGTTTGCACGATTCGTAGTCCCCTAAGCAAATAGGAGAGCAAAAGTTCCGAATAGCAAGTCACATGATAAACGCGTGAATTTCATAAATTTCCAGCGACAACAGAAACGTGTGAATAAGCGGGCCGCACGCTTTGTTTATATGGTTAATCAGATCGCTGATAAACCTCAAGCCAGAGAACCAGCAGCACACGAATTCTTTATTTTTTCTCTATTATGATCGAGAAGGTACATAACAGCACACGTACATAATTGATAGACTGGGTGGGCGGGTTGGTTTGAATTGGTTTTTCCACTTTCATATGTGACACATACAAAAACAATAGTTACAACTAGTTTTTATTTTAATCGGTTTCGATAAAGCTCTGTGACTGATGTTTCCATTTAACGCCAAACTATGAATCAATTTGGTAAAAATTGATATAAAGTTTTCTGAATAATCGCCTTACTGTACCATATAATTCGAAATTCATTTTATATACAACTTTATATAGTATGCCTCACATTTGATCGATGAATAACTGCTGAACAAGTGTTTATAAAACACTAGTTAGTTCTACACAAATTTCCATGGCTATATCTTGTATATACAGATATATCTATAGCTGAGCATTGAGTTAATTATCTAGTTTTAGCTTGAATTACATCAAATGGTTGATTGATTGGCAATTATAAATGATTAATCGTTCGATTAGTACAACAATTTGATGGATATTTAGGCAGGCATTACTGCATCTGACACATAATCAATTGCATTTATAAATAGAGAACTCAGTTATATATAAAAGGCGATCGATTTTTTTATATGTTATCGATTATTGTCCCAGACATAAGCGATGAGAAATACTCAAGTTTGAACTTTCGACTAGCGAATCGAAATCAGCAAGAAATGGTCTAATATAAATTGATAGCCAGCATATTTGGCATTATATACTAGAGTGTGGCATCCACTTGAGCGATAAAGCTCACTATCGCTAGCAATTGATGTTAATAAAAGTGTGCACCAGTTTCCGCTCGCCCATATAAAATGGAATCAAAAAATGAGTAAAATAATTGCAAGTGGGTCGCACAAAGAGCACAGGGACGCGATATGGATAAAGTATATATATCAGTATATACCATATATAAAGTATAATCTTACTTATGTATTTGCCACGCCCACGCACCTGTTAATGGCACGACGCTGGAAAAACACGCAGCTGATAAGCTAGACCGATGTCCAGAAGTATATACATAAACAACTAGCTGCCACGCTTGTCACAATGTTAAAAAATTCCAGCTTTAGGTCTATCAGCACATCAATCGTAAATATTTGTACCGCTAATTTATTCGCAAATCTTGTCTAGACCTGAGAGTCTATAAATAAAACGTACCAACAACGTGCGCAAATATAAGTCAGCATTGTAAAGCATCTAGTACATATTATTCTCTATTAATAGAAATTCTAGTTAGACTATACCGGGGTAACCCCAGCAGTGGACCAATAAAAAAGTTAACTGCATATTTTGTGGGTAAGGTAACGTTTATGGGTTAAGCAAAACTAGCTTTGTCCCACGTACTTCTATTGATAAGTGCATTTCTATTAAGCAACTTGGATAATTTTGCATATGTGCTAGTTAACAGCAGTCGTTAATAGCAGTTGCTGTTGGCTTTAACATTTCTTCTTATCTAATGATCCTTAACATAGTTGTGTTATCTAACATAGTAAAAGCTTTTACATTGCGTAATAATTAACATACAACTGTTAGCTAACATATTACGATTTCTTAAAAAGATCAACATATATTATTAATAGTATTTTAAGCACGAGTGCCAAAAGTGAAGAAGATAAATTGTCTTTTGAACATCCCTGAACCGGTTTATATATAGATTTCCGTTCATTCACCAAAATGTTCAATGAAATTATTCAATTTAAGAAAAAATCTCAACAATTCCTAATTGTTTTTTGTTTTGTTTTGTTTTTAATCAAGAACTAGGGTAACTTCTGACAAATTCTTATCAATTTTGCTCTTTAAGGTCAAAGATTATAAAATTGTGTGCCAAAATGTCTTGTTATAAGAGGATTTGAACAGATGGCATTCATAACAATGCCATATGTCGAAATTCGCAAAAATTTCCTTGCTTCTTATATTTAAGAAGATTCAATGAAAACAATAACCTTTTATTAACCTATTGTTAGACGATGCGTTCAAATGAAGTTAAGCTTGAAAACTGAATATGCTGTTATTAACAGTAGCATGCCATGTTAAGTAAATGATGTTAAAGTAAACTATATATTTATATATTATATTAATATTTCACTTTCCCCTTGTTACTAGCTACGTAGTGTTAATCAATTGCTGATAATCATTCTCTATTTACCTATCAAATTCAGATTCCTTAACGCTGCCGCACAGCTATTCGTGGCTGTTGTCAGCCTGTCAATGACGACGGTTGAAGGGCCGGGGCAAAAGTCTGGATCATCCACATCAAATATGATCCCCTCATCCCATTCACTAACAATATGAGTTAATTTCGATAGTTGCTGTTGCGGCTGCAACTGTTGTTCAAAGTCGGTGTTGTTGTTGTTAATGATGTTGTTGCCGAACGAGTTGTTGTTGTTGGTGCCACTTGTTGCAGAGCCTTGTTTCATCTGGGTGACAAACAAAGAAAATGCAATTAAAACAGAATTACAAAGCAAGTAAAAAAAATAGTTTAAGTTTCAAGTAATCAATTTAGGCATACCCTGTGAATAACCGTAATATATACCCATATCTATGTCACTCAAGTCTGCTGTATTTAGACAGGCTTATCTGTCAACGCTAATCAAGAAACTAGATACATTTCGATTCTTCACACATACCCTGTTTAGTAACACAATGGATATGGGATATATTGATATGAGTAAGAATAACGCATAAGTTAAAAAAACTTCCGCTTTATCAATTTGTTTGCAATACGCCTTATTTCGAAAATTTATAAGTGTAGGGTATCATTGTGAAGAAAAAAGGTAATATGTACGTGATGCTATGCAAATGCCAAGCGACACACGTGGCTGCAACTGCGGCATAAATGCAATGACAAAGAACACGCAATTGTTAACAAAACGCTCTAAAAGCGGAAAAGGTGCGGAGGGGGTGTGAGTTATGTAGCCAAACTGGAGCGGCAGGACAGCTGTTGCTGGCTGTTGACTCGAGAGGTCAAAAAACACACACATGCACACACATACATGCACAGTGAAGCGCACGTAAATCTTGCAAGTAATGCCGCTTGGCAATGCAACAGAAATGCATATGCAAAATCAATAGATGCATTATTTAGGTGAAGGCTGCATCAGAATGTGCAGCTACATGCACATAAATATAATATATGTGCCATTAGTTACACAGGCAAAAACAGCGTAAACGCTATTGTTTTTGCAAATTGTATTTGCCTGTACGTCTTTGTGTGTGTAGTGTTTGTGTTTGCATGTGTGCGTGTGTGCGTGGGCTCGGGTGCACTTACCCCAAAAACCTACCTTACTTCAAATTACACGTTATACCAGCTGCCCACTGCTTAGCAATTAATTTCCTTTAAAGAAAACGATTGTCCTCGTTTAATATGATCTATTGTTCACTAAATAAGCAGTAGATGCATTAATTGTTAAATCGTTTGAAATTAAATGTTATGCTTGAATTTTGCCAGCGGACTACCAATTTGAGCATTCACAACGACTGGGTGACACTGGGCAGAAAAAAAGTTGGCATTTCTTCTGATTTGTTGCTTAGACACTTATCGGCAGTAATCGGTGAGCCACCACCAAAACGACTTCCAATAAGAAAACATTAACTCATACAAAGTAAAGACATTTTTGGCGAATCTTAACGAAATTCAACATTTATAAGCATATTAAAATGCGTACTAGCCTATTGCACCAACTAAAAAGTGCGCAATAGATTGACAAAAAACAAACTCAATCGAAGATAAATTTTCCAGCCGTGAAACTGTATATGTGGGGCCCACGGCCATGGAGGAGAATATGTGGTAAATAAACATTGAATAGTAGTAAATAGAAACGAATGTAAAATGTAAAATAGCTTTTCTGAGCTAAATATGAAGAGGACTATGCAATGGCCTTGCTGGCATACCTTATGCAAATGCGTGTGACAGAGTGAGCGAGCATTACTGAAGAAACCGCCAGCATTTTATTTGAGTCAGCAGCCAAAGAGATAGGCAGCTTTTTTGATGTTATCAGCAACAGCTGTGCCAAATTGGACACGTTGAATTATAAGCGCAAACAAACGCATTGGTTCACCTTTACCAGAGAGAAAGAGAAAATGGGCGGGCCAAAGCTTGACTGATCAGTTGAAAGCTCTCTTTTCTATAAGGGCGAAAGCTCTAACCGTACAAATATCGCTCTCTCAGTCTCTTTGAGGATTCATAACATAGCATTAAAAAATCCTATTTCTCTTTATTTCAGGATAATTGAACTGGAGTCAGCACTGCTGGACGACTGCAATGTGAATGATATTTATAGCATTTGCCAGGGGAAGCCTCTGCCCGAGGCTTTGCGTCCGGATGTTTGGCAAGTGTGTCTCGATGTGCGAAATAAGAGCGATCAAATGTCTCATTTCAACGAGATCTACGATTTGCCCTTTCAAAGTCAACTGCGCGAGGATTGTCAGCGGTATGTGGAACGCATGGGCAACGATGAGGAGGACAAAGTGTCGGTTGTCTCCGATCTGGAATCGATAATGACCTTCTATTGCAAGAATCGCAATTTGCAATATGAGCCAGATAATGGTTGGATCGAGCTGCTGTTGCCGCTCTTCGCGCTCAAATTGAATCGATCGGACACCTTCAATATATTCGAGGCCATACGGGATACGTATATACCCAAAGGCTGCAAACCTAAGGGCAATGTCTTCCATGTATTTCGTTTGCTGTTGCTCTATCACGATCCGGAACTATGCACTGTGCTGGACACCAAAAAGATCACACCGGATCTGTACTCCTTGACGTGGTTTCAATCGCTCTTCGCGTCCTGCAGCAGTCTGTCTGTGATTATTGCCATGTGGGATTTGTATTTCCAGAATGCAGATCCATTTATGGTCTTCTTTCTGGCTTTGATTATTTTAATTAATGGACGCGAACAGATTATGTCCATGAAGGACTCCACGAAAGAGGAGATCATCAAGTTTCTTATCAACATGCCTTGCGCCCTGGAGGTGGACGATGTGCCAGACTTCTGCTCACTCGCCCAGTACTATGCACTTAAAACCCCAACGTCCTTCAAGACAGATTATCTGAAGGCTCTTTATGGCAAACAGAATGATACGCCGCGCAGCCAGGAGGAGTCCAATAAGGTGTCCCAGGCATTGTGTCTGCCCGTTTCCGTCTATGAACTAGTCGAGAATTCGGCCACAGAGTTTCCAGTGCAGGATTCCGTACGTTTCTTTCTTGTGGACTGCCGTCCAGCCGAACAGTACAATGCGGGCCATTTGTCCACGGCATTTCATCTCGACTGCAATTTGATGCTGCAGGAGCCAGTGGCCTTTGCCACTGCCGTCCAGGGTCTGCTCACCGCCCAGAAACAGGCCATCGAAGTCAATTCTAATGCGGGCGGCGAACATTTGTGCTTTATGGGCAGCGGCCGTGTGGAAGAGGATCAATATACGCACATGGTGGTGGCTTCATTCCTGCAAAAAAACACACACTACGTGTCCTTGCTAACCGGCGGCTATGCCTCCATTCACGATTACTTCGGCGAGCACATGGCCGACTGCCTGGAGGATCACAGTGTCAGCAAATGTCTCGTGTGCCAGCAGCACAATGCCAAGCAGGTAAGCGAAGTCAAGTCTATCCAGTCATAGCCTAAATTAATTCCTTTTCATTTACAGTCCAAGTCAACGATGCTCAAGGTATCGACACCCTCATCTACAGATCTATTCAGTAAATTCTCCGCAGCCATGAAATCAAAATCAGCCGAGGTTAAAGGCCGACTGATGGACATCATTGTAAATCCCAATTCGAATGGCGCCGGTGCTGGCGCAAGTGGAGCCACCGGCAATGGCGCTGGCCAAACACATGCGGTGCAGGAACGTCATGTCAGCGCCAAGGAGCGCAATGGCAAACGCTATCGCAATGTGGCGCCGGTTTTCAGCATCGATGATGAGAACGAGGACGCTTACGATCCAGCGGAAAAGGATGCACCTCAGCCCGCTGGCGTTAGCAAAGAGATTGTCAATCTCAATCAATATTTCAAGACGGCGGACATTATAAACGCATTCAAATGCCAGGACGTACACATCAATGGCTATATGTACGATAGCCATCTAATTATAACGCCCACACATTTGGTGGTGCTACGCGAATTGGGACGGGGCCAGGCCCAGATCATGGTGCGTCGTCCACTCGCTAGCATTGTGAAGATCACCGCCAAGAAGCGACATCGCGATTTGATAACATTCAAATACGGTTTTCCCGACGGTGATGGTTTGCTCATAACCGATATGGATCGATTTCTGATACCAAATGCCACAGAGGCCACAGCTATTGTCTCCAAGCAAATAATGCATGTGCTCAACAAGGCAAATTAGAGAAATCAATAGATCAGTCCACACTTAACACACCCACACACGCATAAACATTAATCTGTTGCCCCTGTATCCCTTGCACACAAACACAGACACACATACCTTTTCTAGTTATAAATTTATTGGCAATTGTTTCCTTGGATTAGCCTACAAATTGTAGTCTTAGCTTTTCTTTTTAACTAAATTGGCAACTGCTATATATTTTCTTATCTTCCTTTTTGTTTTAATTCATAAAGCAAATGTAACATACGACACGTTCAAATACGCAAGATCGTTAACCTGTGACCCTTCAGTGCGATTCTTAAATTCTAAGTGCAGTAAAAAAGGAAAAGAAACAGAAAAATATATTACAGACCCCGAGAAAACCCTTAACTTGGAAGCCTTGAGACTTACAATGTATAATAAAGATTACAACAAAAATATTTATTGCAATGAAACGCGGTATAAATAAACATGTATTATATTCAAAACAAAGCAAAAACAACTTTTCTTTAATTTAAAAATGTTTTAAAAGAGTGCTGAAATTAATTTAAGAAACTAACAAATATTAGAAAATAATTTCATTGGTTTTATGGGTGCTTTGAGCTATGTATATAAATATATATATGGGAAAGTATTCAAAAACTATCAAAATATTTATATATGTATATATTTTTTTTCACAATTTTTTTGAATAAATTTAGACAAACAGAAACTTAGCTTTTGACACGACTTAGATCAAAGTTGCAAAAATTTTCTTATAAAATTTTTTTTTTAAATATAAAAAATTGATTTTTTTCAAATAGTTTTTGATATTATATATTAATTCTGAATGTCAAGATGTCAATAAACGTAGCATTAGAAATGACAGTGAGATGACCAAACTTTATGCTCAATATTAAAAAAATGTTCATTAGCTTTTAGACTATATATGTATATATACTTCAGTGATTGTGTTAAAACTAATGACTAAATTAACTAATTTTCAAAATTTCTATTTTCTGTTGGATTCCATATTTAAATTTGATATATAAAAAATATAGCTTTGCGTTAAATTTTAAATCGAACATTTTTTATTTTTATTAGAGGTACTGAAAAAAAAATTGCTTTACTCGAGAAGTACTTAAGAGACTTAAAGAGATTATTAAGCTTTAAATATCAAAAAATAAAACTCTATTCTTTTCAATATTAGAAAAATGCCTGAAGAAAGGTAAAAAATTAGATCAATTTTTATCTGATATACAAAAATAAATATTTTAATTGTCAAGTCAAGCAGCTGGAACTGGAACTGGAGCAGCCAACTCGAGCGCAGGCAACAGTTACAAATTTATGTTACATATATAAAATATTCAATTCAGTTATTTGAGGGGCGGCTGCAAATTGTGTGCAGACTTGGAGCAGGCGCAGTCGTAGCATTTGGTCAGGCTGAAAGTACGTAAGCAGCGCCTGCTAATGTCCCTCGCTCTTGTCGCTGTTCTTGTTGTGCTGTGCTGTGCTGTGCAGAGGGCCGCAATTCTTATCAATGACAATGACGTAGATGGTGTGCAGAGCACATTGAGCCGCTGCCTTTGGGCTGCAAAGCGAATTTGGGGCGATTGAACATTAAAAACTGTTGCACTACAGCAGCAAGCAGACAGTTCATTCAGAACAGTCACAGCACGCGGACAAGCAGCCAACACTGAACTCTGAACCCGAACGCCGAAAAGCCAAGGAGCATCTGAAGAGCCATTCAGCAGGCAGGCAACCATATACAACTACAAAGGGTCAACCAGAGCAGGCCCATCTAATTGGGACACCGAACAAAAGTCTTTCGCTTGTTTACCAAGTTTCCTTAGTGCTGTGTGTGTGTGTTAGTTTTTGTTTTTACCACGAAATGCAATTGTCTTTGGGAGCATCCGGTAATGGCCAGAGCCTGATGTGGGCGCTGCTCTTGCTGTTCGTCGGATTGGCGGCAGCGGTGCCAGCATCTGTTCTAGCCCAGAACACGGAGCTATCCACCAATGCGAACAACAAGCTGCAACAACAACAGCAGCAGCAGCAGCAACAGCAACAGCAGCTGCGGGAACTACCGGCAGGTGAGTGCAAAAAGTTCAACATATTTACCTGACTCGAAAGTGCGTGGGTCGACACGCTTTGCCCACATATGTCAGGCAACGTGTAGTTAATGTTAAAGGTCATTTGAAAATTTCATGTTTGAAGACGAATAAAAATAAGAAAAATGGACATGCACGTACTAGCGGTACCGCGCTATAACTGAGTACCGCATAAGTATTCATTGTGCACAGTAAAGCTTGGCTAAAGTGTGCAAGATATATTTCAAGTGTTAAAAGTAAGCTGATTAGCATGCATTTCAGTGTTATTTTATTATAAAATATTTAATTAATTCAACAGAAACTTAAATGTCCGCTTAGACAAACTAATGTTGGGCCTCTGTTGCTTTGATTTCGTTACAATTTTGTAGCATACTTTTCTGCGCTCAAAAAATTGCTTTGAAATTAGAACTAGTAAAATATATTTTAAATACTTCATTAAAACATTAAAAAAAAGCCATTTATAGTCAATTAAAAATTAATAAAATAATTTCATTTTTCAAATTTTAAAATTTAAATAATAAAAAACCGAATTAGATATTTTGTAGCGCCTTTTTGATCTTTTGTGGCAAGCGGTATATATATTAATTTCTTCTGAAGATATATATTTCTTCTGAATCTTTTGCAAGATAATAGCTATTGCCAAGCTATCTGATCAGATTGAAAAATATAATAGGTCCAAAAGAAAAAAATATATTATATAAAATATAATAAATAAATTGAGGAAAAAAAAACAAAAATTGAAAAAGAATACTCAAATGAAATTTCAAATTTCTGTAAGTTCTGTAAATAAATATACATCCAATACGAAATATAAATCATTTTAGTGTAAAATATAATATTAAATAATAAATTGAAATGCGTTTCGAAAAATTAAAAATTTTATTATTTATGTTGGATTTAATTTTAAAATTGAATTAATTTTATTTATATCCAAATAAAACATTTCCCTCAATAACTTCTCATTGAGTTTAGACATTATTATTACATATATATGATATTAAGCTTTTTAAAATAGTTTGCTTAAAATGCCAAAAATTTAATTCATATGAACTATAATTGAATAAAACAAGCGCTTCAAAAAGCAACTTATGTGCAGCTTAGCCATGCAACACTGTACATGAATTTGCGTATACAAATTTGAGTGTGTATGTGTATTTGTGTGTGTGAGTTACTTGTAAGTTGAGCACATTAAGCAAAACGCCCACGCGCGCTTAAAAAGCAGAAGGCAGCAGCAACGCTGCCACCTAGCATCCTGTCTGTGTTTTTCATCTCCGTTTGATCGGCAGTCGAGCGCCTCGCCCTTTGTTAACGCCCAGCAATTCGCCATTTCGCTTAACAGCAGCAACAGCAGCAGCGGCAGCGGCAGCGCTTTCCATTTTCCGCTGTTGGGCTTGCAGGAAATTGCGTAGGTGTTTGCTGCCACACAGCCACGGCAGGCAGCACGACAGCTGGCAAGCAGCTTGACGCTTAGCCGATTTGGCCAAACAAAAAGGAGCAAAAGGAAAATAAACGAAAATAAATTTGGCTCTGTCATTGTTGTAGTTGTTGCTTTGCACTTCAGAGCGCTGGCTTAGTGTAACATTACAATCATTGCGAGTCATAATACACTAAAATACACAAGCACACACACATACATACACATTTACAAGCGCGCAGCTACACCTACGCAAAGCGTGGGCGGCTGCTGCACAAAATGGCGGCCAGACTCTTTTGGTATGCAAGCGAGCGAATATGTGCGAGTGTTTGCTTATGTGTATCTGTTCGTGTGCCTGTGTGTGTACGTGCGCGCGATTTCATTTCTATTTTTAGACATCCCATTGGAGCAGCAGTTTCTGCTGCCTGACGCCATTTGCGTTTGTATTGGTTTGCTTTTTCGTGCGCGCTTAAAAGTAGGCAACACTTTATGTAGCCTAGCCTTGACGGCCTGCGCTGAGATGTCGCTGCCATACTTTTCATTAAGCACAAGAGACCCCCCCAGCACCCAAGCATACACATAATAAATATTTATATAAGTCGTTGGCTTTGGCATTTAGCTAGCGCGTTTGCAAGCATATGCCATTGTGGGCATTCATCAAATATTCATTGCGGCTGTCAATTGCAAAGTCAAGGCTCTGGTTAACCGCAAACTTCTAAATATACTACATAGAGAGACCAATAGAGAGAGAGAGAGTGGGGGAGAGCGAGAGACTGACTGGCGCGCACATTTCCATTTTCATGTCACAAATTTTCCATATGCCGTTATTATTAAGTTATTTTGCAGGCCGCACTGCCTGCGGATACATTAATTGTGCTGTTGCCAACGTTCTTTGCTGCTTGTTATTCAGCAGCTGCTGGCCCAGGCCAAGCAACAACACGAACCAAGGGGCACACCCGCAAAGCGCCCAACACAATCACAACTGCTGTGTGCGTGTGTTTTGTGTGTGGCAAAAATTGAAGAGCAAACAACTTGTTGATATTTTTACAGTTCACTGAATATTTTCATGTTAGCAGCAGCAGCAGCAGCAGCGGCAGCGACAGCGGCAGCGGCAACAGCAATAACAAAATGGCTGACAATGACAACGCGTAGAGCGACGTCAGCAAACGTCAGCGCGTATAATTTAGCTGGCTGTTTTTTATTTATTTATGCCCCTGCACTGCTGCTACAGTTCCAACAATTCCTTGTGCCCGCAGGACAAGCGAGACGGAGCAACAGCACTGGGGAATATTTTTCATTCAACCCAATTGCTCCCGCTCCCGCTTCACTCTCTCTCTCTATCTATCTCTGTCTCTTTTGCTCGCTTGTTTTTCAGTACTTAGCCAAGGTTTCAGGCATATGACGAAGCTCTTGGCTCTTGACAAGACAAACATATGGTCAAGCTGCTTGCCATAATGAACAGCAGCTAGAAACTGGGTTACTTTACTTACAATGAAGGACATAAGCTACTTAATAGAGAGCTTAAAATGATAACTTAATAAATTCATATAGTAAAGTACTGCTCACAGAGAGAGAGAGATTTCAGACTTTATATGGAAATGCTATGCATATGTTAATCAATCCGTGCATCACTAAGAGAAAAGTGAATTGACGTTGGTTTGGTTGACTCTTTGAGCTAGTTCACTATCTCTAACTTAAGTACTTGAACCATTTTCGATTCATTTCGAGTTTCTGAATATGGAAATTACCATATGCGCACCTCAACTCTAAGCCCACCCAACATATGTATATTTTTTGAAGTCATCTACTTTTCAGACTCACCTCATCCGACATAAATTATAATATATCAAAATATATATTAGTTTTTACCTCCCTCCACATTGATTGGTGACCTACGCAGACGATAACATTCTATCACATATATCATTTTGAAGCACAAATTTGCAAATCATGGCCAAAAAGCAAAAACACTCTCTGCTAAGTCAAATCAGTTCGGTTACATCACAGTTGTGGACGTCGGATACATTGGGGAGATAAGTTATGACCTCTATAGTGGGTCTGCTCTGTTCAATTATTGCAATTCGTGCATATGTACTTACATATAAATCATTGTTGATCATTTGTTTACGCGCTGGTTTTTCTTATCGCCAATATTGTCATGATAAATATAGAAAAACCAGTTCAAATGTCAATTTAATATGCATTGTGAAGTGCTCAGTAGATAAACCGCAGGAAAAACCCTCCGAGATACGTATAACATGTTGCGCACTGCTTGGTGAGTTTTGCATGTGTTAAGAACTAATTTGAATTGAGTTAAATAAACGAATTTTGATAAGGCTGATAGCCAGCTGAAACCCTGGATAGGTCTCTGATTTATGACACTATAGGGAAATACCTCTATAGCTGTTCAGACTTTTAGTCTAGAACCTTTTTATTTTGTTCAATGTTAACAGAAAGCAGTCAGCAATAAAGGCCATTAACGAATTTTGCAACATTTTTAAAACTTTTTTTAAAACTTTGACAGCTTATTAAGATTTTCGCATAGAAAAAATGAAAATATTTTTAAAAATATTCAAACATTTTAATAAATTAATAAACAAACCATTTTTAAAATAAAAAAATTTCGTAAAATATTGATACGCCTGAGAAAAAGACTTAACATTATGTTAATAACATATTTTGATCATTAAAAAAGAAAGAAAATAATATTTGGTTAACAGAGTATTTATAAACATGAGAAAAAGTCCAAAGAAAAAATTGGTAAGAAAATTTCATTCAATTATAAAATATAAATATATATTAAAAAAATAGAAAATAAAAAATAGCAAAGAATGATAATAAATATGTTAAAAATCGTTAACATGTTGTTAACAGCACAATCTCTTTCTCAACAATTAAAGAAAACTGTATTAAAATTATGCAATTTGCCAATTTTCTGTAAGATATTTTCTGTTATTAGCTTAACAGATCTGCTCATAACATATGCAAAGAAACAATTAGCTTAGATGATAGTTCGAGTTAACACCAGTTGATTGCGGCTGGTGTTAATTCACGTTTAATTGCCCGCTACGAGACGCTTGATTATCAGGTTGAGGTTGAGCTGAGTCGATTCAATTAGCAGTGCGCTAGAGCCGGCAGTAAATATGATTAGGGATAATAATGTCAATGGGTAGTAGTCGTTGCTATGGGGATACGGCAACTAGCTAAACGCTGCGACTGCCAGCTGCTATCGAGCATAAACAGAGCTCTAATAGCAATTAGTGGTGCGAGCAGAAAGAAAATGAAATATGAAAGAAATTATGGTAGACAGCTTGGCTAATTGCTTTCGGACGTTTATTGAATCAAGGAGCGCAAATTGAAATACGCAGCGACCCCTAAAAGCACGCAATGGCAAATTACATTCTATTTTCATTTTCGATTTCAATTTCAATTTGAACAGTGAAACGCGCCGAGGATGGGGCAAATAGTGCCACGGTGCCACCGGCCGATAAGAAGTCAAGTCCGGAAATTGTGCCCGCAACCTTTAGCAATGCTCCCGCCCGTAATGGCCCCATCGAACAGCAACAGCAACAGCAGCAGCAACAGCTACAGCAACCGCAGGCTGGTCTCTATGCGCTGCCCAGCAACGATGAGATCCTGGCCGCGGTGGCAGCTGCCGCTCAAAGCAGCCAACAGCAGCTGCAAAGCGACCCAACCGCCTTGGAGGAGGCGGTGGCCAGCTCCACGATGCGCAAGCGTGGCATTAACTACGAATACAATCCGTACATGAGTGTGGCCAACAACGACTATGGCAGCGATGTGCCCGCCGGTGTCTGGGCCGACGATTATGAGCCCAATGCGCCCATCAGCTACAATGGCTACAACAGCTACAACAATGAGCGAGAGCTGCAGGAACTGGAGGACTATGCGCCGGACCGACATGGTAAGCAGCCAATTAACATAATTCCTCAGCCACTTCAGTACCTTCCTCTCTCTCTCCCGTCTGGCTACTTAGCTAATACGCCCACTGGCCGCAACAAGGCTTACGATAATCTGCAGAATCTGCTCAACGCCGAGGCCTACTTAGAGAGCATTCCTTTGTCTGTGCCATTAACCTATGCCAATCGCAATTACAATTTGGATGAGCGCAACAAGCGTGGGCTCTACTACGACTTGGCTGCAGCTAATGCTCCCAGCGAGAATCTCAATCTGAACAAGTATCGTCGTTATGGTGATATGCGGTAAGTCAAAAATCATTAGCTACCATAGTAACATAATGTTAGCAGCTTATGCAAAATGTTATCAGAACGATTTGTCAGTTCATATAACATATGCTAAGTTTCGTTGGAATCTTATAAGAGTCAATAATGTTAATAACAGAGATACATCCTTGTAAGAGTTAACAGGTTGAACAAATTTTAAGTAGCTCTTTTGAGCTTAACAGATGCTAACGCTGTTAAAATAGCAAAGGGCTGTTAACTTTCCTGTGCAAACTGAATTCAATAATTCTTAATTTCCAAATCTTTATGACTTAATGGCATATAAAATACCTGCTTTTGTTAAACATTTAGTTCTATTCCTAAAGAATTTCCATCTAAGCTTTTCTGATAATCCCTGCTATCTCTGTCATCTCTGTCTGCTCAGCCTAAAACGTGACACCACCAAACTGACACCCGCTGATATGCTGGCACTGGTTGCTTTAGTCGAAGCCGGTGAGCGGGCACGCAAGGAGAGCGATATGGATAGCGGCATCTCGCTGCCATTGGTGGATGCTGAGGAATTGGACTATGTGCCAGCAGCTGGCAGCTGGCTGGATGCGCCCATGCAACCGCATCAGCAGCAACAGCAGGCGCCCGCTCTCGTTGACTACTATGGCATGCCAGTGGAGGCGCAGGTGGTGCCAAAGTATGAATATGTGCCACGCCCACAGAAATATCTGGGCAGCAATGGTCGTAAGTGGCAGCAACTTGAAGTAGACTCAAACGGGTTGCTAAATGTCAGAAATTTTCATTACAGGTCTGGGATCCTCGAAGCGTTTCATGGTGGCCAAGAAGAAGCGTTCGATTAACCAGAACCAGTTCATGAACGAACCGGTAGGCGAGCGTGGACCCAGCTACTATGGCGAGAAGTTCTACTAAAATGGAGAGCAAAGTAGACAAATATAGATAGAGCGGAGAGAATGAGAGAGAAAATAAAAGCTTTTAAGCTGAGCTTTCCCGATTTATTGGTAATCACATTTACAAAAAGATTAAAACAAAAAACCAAAACAAAATAAACCCCAATCATTTGACCTTTGCCCTAGTTTGCAAAACGAAAGAAAAGAAAATACAAAATATTTTAAACCAAAAATAACTTAAATTAAAAAAAAAAAAACAAAAATCGAGTCAATGTGCAATTTCTGTGTAGAATTTGAATTTTGAAGCAAAAAGTAAACAAATATATACATAATATTATTATATCTATGCATATAAATATATGAATATTGTATGTCGAAGAACATCCACATAATCAAAATCAATGTTTTTAAAACACTGACGCCGACAGGGTTGACAACTGCGAACTTACCAATGCCCAATCGAACCTAAACTAAACTAAACTAAACCTAACCACACTTAATCGATGTCTATTTCTATGGTCAAGGTCTTGGAACCACAAAAAAAAAAAACCAAAGAACCGCCAACACTATCAGTATCTAATTGTGTAATATCAAAACTAGAGGCTTCCCAAGTAGTACAAACAAAAAAAAAACAAAAAAACAAAAACAAAAACCAAATATGGAAAAATTTATGAAAAATACAATCTATAGATACTTAACGGTAATTACTTTAAATGAGCTCAGCAGCAACAGATTGTCTGTCAATTTGCTTTAAATGTTTTTTACAAGGAGGCGCCATTACACTGTACTACACTCAAAACTATTTACACTGAGCGAAAAGTAATATACTTTTATGCAAACTATTTGAAATATCTACTAACAATTATATTAACAAATAATACAAAAAAAAAAAAACAATTATATATATATATATATTATAATCGAAATATATGTATACAATTATGAATACTATTTGTCAAAGAAGAAAAAAAACAACACACAGAAAAACATTTAAGTGGCTCAGCGCATAAAATATTGAAAATATTCTATGCCGATTTAAGAAGGCGGCGGCGTGTTAATTTATTTTAATAAAAAATTGTCTGACTGTTTTATTGAAAACATTGAAAGAATACACAATGGGAGAACAAAAAGAAACATTTAAAATATATATACATACTACGATATACATGCATACTTATACATACTTATATACAACATTTATTTAAAACATTTATTGAAAATTATAAATAGCTACAAATATGTGTGTTTTGTGACCCACATACTTTATACATATATATATATATATATATATATACATATATATATATATATATATATATATTAACACACACACTCAACAATGTAAACTATATATAACATTTTGAAATATGTACTTATTTTTATTGGCCCATCAAATATTATGGCCATTATATTTATGTTATGGTATTATGCGAGCTTCATTTTTATTGGTTTTACGGTAAAAAACTGATTTATGATTCATTTACGAACTAAATAAAAATATATCTTTTTTGGTTTGGAAAACCTCAAATTCAAATGCCTTTATCAATTCAATTAATAGTTTCCAATTGGATGCCAATTAGCAGACTGTTAGCGCTTGCATTAACAGTGCGCTGCTGTTAGCTATTAGCTAAGCAAATGAAACAGTGTAAAGCATATTATATACTATGTTAGGGTCTTTATCAACTGGTTGGGTATACTTTGCGTACTTATTATACATGCAGCTGGCCTCTGCACAGTCTATAAATAAGCCTTATCAGGGTAAGTGAGATTGATTTGTTAGCGCCTTGGCGGCGACATTTACTTTTACAGATTTATGGTTAATTTAAGTTTAGTTCTATTTATTTTCTTTTTACTAATTTATTCAATAGATATTCAATTATTGAAACGTGCGAGAGCTATTACAGCAATTTAGATGGCGCCACACGCGTAACTCTCGACCATTCATTGATGGAGACGAAGGGCTGCTTCATAGATACATACATATATATATATACATATGTGTGTATCTATGACGTCACGAATGGCGCAGCACAACAATATTTACAATCGAAATATACAACGATTTTGGTTAGCGTATAGCAGAGTGCTGTTGTCAACGAAGTGTATAAAGGTACTGGTAGATGACTATGAAATACCCTGCAATTGCAAAAGTCTTATATATGTTACTGACTTCAACCTCGGAATAATTACATTTTATATTAGGAAAGAAGTCTTAGTGCATTTATTAAAAATAAAAAATAAAAAAATATTAAAAAATATTAAATAAAAAATTATTTTTAATATATTTTTTAAATAAATACATATATTTAACGAAAAAGAAGAGAAAGATAGACAAAAAAATATAAAAAAAATTTATATTATTTCCTAAAATATATAAAGTATATTTATTTGAATAAAATTCAACATATATTATAATAAAAAATATTCAATAATAATTTATCGAGTAGGAACTAAATATGATTGAATTTGATAATCCTTAAACAAGTTAATATTCATTTTATTATTTTAACTCATTTTTAATAATATAATATTCAGTTTGCATATGTTATGTATACTAAAACTCGGAAGATATATATCTTCCATGGCCCTATATACTCTTGCAATATACCCCTTCTAATCATTAATTAAATTTATATATAGCTTAATTTTCAAGTTTCGTTGTCAACGAAAAACAAGTGAAATAAATAAATATTTGGAAGGCAATTCAATGAAAGGCAATTAACAGCTAAATAGATCAAGTGAAATAGTGGCTTCACGTATTACTTTTTTATTGAAAGTGTGTGCAGTAAACTCAATAAAAATCAATTTATATAGCCATCAAGCCAGAAGAATAAATTGCTACAGTTTCACTTTTTTTTTTTCAAATAAAATAATAAGATCTAACTGGTGTAGCATATGCTCAACGCTAGACAATAGAGTCGTTGCAAGCATCGAGGCATAGAAGCCACTATGCATGTCCAGGTACCGGATCTATTGGCCAGCTGGATGGCAAGTAATGGGCCATAGAGCCGTCAGCTTTGTGCAAACAGAGGCCCCAAAGCTAGACATAAACAGAACAGAACAAAACAGCAAAAAACAATGTGCAGAGAATTAGATAAAATAAATATAAATTATTGCGAATATTGAATACACTGCGAGTCGCCCAAACCAGCAGCACTCGCGCTGTATTCAAATGCATTCAATATTGATGGACGTATTAGCAGCTCATTTGGATGAGTGCGGCTTTCAATTACTCAGAGAAGTATATGCGCCCCGCCTCGGCCAGTATGCCATATGGAAGCAGGCTGATAAAAAGACAAATAAAAATGCGAGTACAAAAAATAAATAAATACAAAAACAACAACAAAACGAAAAGAAAAGAAAAAAGTAAAACAAACATCAGCAAAGCGAAGCCATTAATATGTATTTCTATATGTACAGCGGACTCAGTGCCTCTGTGTGTGTGTGTGTGTGTGTGGCGTCTGCCATGTGCGACAGGCAGTTAAGCCCAAAGCGGGGAGTGTAAAAGCGACTGACAACTCCTCTGCTTAAGTGTTGACGCATTTGCATACCAAATCATCATCAGCAACATCATTATTATGCTCATCATTTGGCTGGAAAACTGGGCCGGCTTTTTAGTTGATCTGCCAGCACATAAAGCAAACAAAGCCAACCAAAAAAAAAAAAACAGTTCGCTTTAGCAAATATTGTTTTTCCTGCAATATTTTTTATTTAAATTTTTTGGTTTGTGGTTCAAATCAGAGTGTTGTCACAGCTAAGCTAGGAATGACAGCGCTTGTATAAATTGAGGCTGCAAATCAATTTGCAACGCTTTGTACCTGTTATTCCAGTTTTTGCTTAAGCAGATGAACTAAAGCCGAAACGAAACCATATTTTCAATCAAACAATATTTCGACTGGAAATGTAATTCTTTTGGAACAGACTCCGCTACAATAGCTGCTCAAGAATTCTAAATATAAAGCAAACTTATTTTATACTTATAGTTACTAATAATACTTATAATAACTAATAATTATTTTTAACTACTCTGAAAGTTCAGTCTTATAACAGTTCATGATAATTGGAGTATCCGGTTCAAACCGGCTTGACAAGTTGACAGGTTTTCGAGCTTTGTTCAAGTGTAAGAACTTTGAGAATTTCATATATTAGTAGACGTTCTTAAATAAACACAACTGTTTTATTTACACACTCAAATCATCAATGTGCTAACAGCTTATAAAGAATTTTAATAAAAAGCGAATAGTTCTCTTAGAGTATAACAACCAAAAACTATCTTCAGATAAAATGTGGAAAAAACCTATTTAATTTATGAAAGAAAAATATATTTATATAGACTAAAAATATTTAAATATATATATAAACATTTACTTAATTTTTTTAACCATTTTTATAAATTTAAAAAAAGATGTATATAAAAAGTAAACCGTTTTTAGCACTGCATAAATATATAATTTAAAAAAACAACACGAACTTTGTGAGCTAGTCTTCTTTAATTAATAAATCAAATACTTCAACTTCTGCTCTAATTAAATAATCCCGCTTCATATCGCTCATAGCTACAGCAAAACAGTTCGAATTAGTTAAAAGACAAAATCAATTAGCACCTTTGTCATGAGGAAAATACCATATACTTCTGTTAATTATAATCACAAGCAATTTACAATAAAAAAGTTTAGTTTATTTAAAAATAATATTAAAAAACCCAGCAAAAAAACAAAATGCGAGCAAAAGTTATAAAAATCAAAGCGAGACAAGTTTTACGAATGAAACAAAAATCAGGTGGGCTCCACGATTATGTCAATTTATACTTATTTTATGCACGCGTTTTGCATGCCTAATTAATTGCGCTATATAGACAAATACTTTTTTTGGTCAAAAACAATTCAAAACAAGAAGAAATTTGAAAATTTGCTTAGGCGTTTTGTATTTACTTTTTTGGTTATTTATTTTCCACGCTTTGCCTATTTGTTTATAAATATTTTATATACATATTTGTTGTACAACTTTTGCCGTTCATGAATAACAATTGAATGTATTCTGTAATTGAGTGTGTCGACTCTTACATATCCTGTATTTGAATAATATACAAATTGCTAAAATAATAATAAAAAAATGTTAAGTAAAATATAATTTTTTTTTTTTAATTTAGTTTATAAAAGGGCAACACTTTATATATTTAAGTTTAAAAAACATAGAAAACTATTTTCAGTGAAAACATAAAAAGATAAAAGCTTACTGTGAAAATATTGATTTAAAAAAATGCAAATATAAATTTTAAAAATGTTACTTTTTAATAAATAAGATAAAATCATAAACTAAATAAAATATTATATATATTATATTAAGAATATTCTACAAAAAAAGTTTTTTAAATAAAATATATGTATTTTATTTAAAATTCTTTTCATATATACTTTAACTCAAAATATAATTTTTTTTAATTGCAAATTTTTTTTAAGATTAAAAAGTTAAGCTTTATAACGTTTTATCTAACCATACAGCTGTCAGAAGTTGTTAAAAATATTTGTCATTGTTATATGTTTTACTTAATGCCAAAATCAGTATCATCCCTTTCCATGCATCTAAAACAACAGGGTATTACCTAATACAACTTTTTTGTCATGCGAAGTTCGATTTAGCTAAGACAACAACCACAACAGCAGCTTGCTTTGATTGTACTACGCAACCGATTGGAACGCATGTGAAATAGACTTTGTGGAATGTGGCAGCTGTTGGAAAAGCGGGAGGCTGGTATGGCGACTGCCAGCTGGAGTAGGACAACAAAATGTTGTACCAAAAACTTGCTGCGTCAAGATACAGAACTTATGCGCGAGCTAGCAGGCACGCACGCTTCGCAGGCCGAACCCAGCCCCCAAAAAAACGAGACCCCGAGCTGCCGGCATACAAACACAAACACACACTCGCACACATGCGTATATATACAAAACGTAAATTATGCTCTTGAAAAAAAAAGCCAAAATTTCGAGGTAGCGGCGCGTCGTCGGAAATGGTATTCCAGCTACGAATTCAGTTGTAAGGCAGCTGCCTGTGGCAACGCACGCGTCGCATTTTCAGAGCACACAGCTCGCACGTACAAATCGGAATAAATATATATATTTATATATATATATATATTATCAAACTTATACTTTTGGCTAAAGACTAAACGCTCTGCATTATGGCCGAAGAAGTGATCGCCAAGGGCAGCATCTTGGGCAGTAAGTGAAAAGCTGAAGAAAAAAGTGTTCAAAATTTCAAAGACAACTTGTGGCATATGTGAGGAGATTGAATTGCGCCAGTGCAAGTGCCAAATGCATCAGACAGTGCAAGTGCAACAAGTGGCATAGAGAGACACAGCAACATGGGGGCAATGAGAGGGAAGCAAGTCCTGATGAAAGTATCTCGAATGCTTGTGCAATGCGTGTTTGACCTCAAAAGCCGCCGAAAGGTCGTGCGTGTGTGTGCGTATTTCCGTGCAGATATGTATGTATGTGAGTGTGAGTGTGTATGTGTGCGTGTGCGCTATCCTTTCAGCTCAATATGAGACGGCTTTTTTTTAGAAACAACAACATTTTATGAGCTCCTGTGTAAAGCAAATCAAAAGGAAAAGAAATAAAAAATATATATTTGATTGGAAATATCTATATATATGTATACATAGACGACATCCCATTGACAGCCGGCCTGAAGGTCATTTGTATGTCAGCGTTATAAACAATGTCCAAACATTTGCCAAAATCTACATATTTGCTTCGTCCCCCACTTACCTAGGCCAACAAATTAATATGGAAATTGCTGTGCGCCGCATTATCTCATCTAGTAGTTATAATAAAAATGTCAATTTAATCCTGCTGTCATGTCAGGAGAGACAAAAATATGATATAATAATTACTTTAGCTTTACTATAACATGGTGAAAGCAACTGATGGTCTGATTGATTTTTGGCTTTCACTAAAGTTTCCTGTTTCAGCAGCGTTTTTCAGCTTTGTATTTTTTTCATATTTTCTCTTATAGTTTTGTCAGGTTTTTATTTGAAAATTTTTTACCGGAAATCAAAATAATCTTTGCCAATTTTTTATCCTTATCAGCCTTTAGGCTCAAATCGCGACCAATTGCGTTGCTTTCCAATTTCTGATTATTTTCGTTCATTAAAGTAAATAAATAATTTTTCTCCAACCCAAGTTTATGGCCTTTTGAATGGCTTATAGATTACAGTGTCGACCCCTGCAAGTTCTTTCGGTTATCTTCAATTAAAGTTCATGTTATGGCACTTTTCAATACTTAACTTAAGTTCACTTGCGTCCAACTTTCAGCTTATCTACTAATCGTTTCCATCTTGTACCTGCTCTGTCACGCCTTGTACCTAATCGATATTTCTTTGAAATTGAGCTCTTCAGTTGGCAGTAGAAATCGTTTGATAATGCCTTGCATCTATCTTTAACGGCAGCTATAAAAGTCCAAGAATCGTTATATTTCGCATAGCTGCGATAAAGTTTGAGCAATTGTGAAACGTTAATTTGTTTTGCCATCAATTTGATTGCCGTCGGTCGTCGGCCAGACGTGAATTTCTAATGGAAAATAAATACCATAAACAATTTGAAATTCGTTATCAGGGCGAGGTCTGGTCCAATTAACTGTTTTTTATTTTCGGTCTGCGCGTGGTACCGTCTCCATTTCAATTGCCCTGACCCAGCCCAACAACTAATCGACTGTCAATTTGATTTACATTTATAGAGCTGGTGCCCGCACGGTATGTGCTTGCCATACTGGGCTCCATTGGCATGGCCATTGTCTATGGGCTGAAGGTGAATCTGAGTGTTGCCATGGTTGCCATGGTGAACCACACTTCGATACATCTGATGCAGGAGAAGCCATTGGATCATCACACCATTTCGAATATCTCGAGCAGCTCGGCCGAGGCTGTTGAGGTCTGCTCGCCGCCAGGTGGCGCCACCAATGTAACCGCCAAGGTTGAGGTAGGTCTCCAGCTGCGCAGCAATCACAAGCAGTGGAATTTGTGAAAACATTTGATTTGTTTTGCCAGGACGGACCCTTTAGCTGGAGCGAACCCCTGCAGGGCACACTGCTGAGCTGTTATTTCTGGGGCTATCTGGTCTCGCAAATCCCGTTGGCTCATGTGGCCGAAAACTTCTCGGCCAAGTGGGTCATGTTATTCTCGGTGGCCATCAATGTGGTGTGCACTCTGTTGACTCCTCTTCTGACGTCTGCCCATTATGGAGGCTTGATACTGATGCGCGTCCTGGAGGGTGTGGGCGGCGGTGCCTCGTTCCCAGCTATGCATGTCATGATTGCCTCTTGGGCCCCACCCACCGAGCGTATGGTCATGTCCACCATCATCTATGTGGGCACATCGGCAGGCACTGCACTCTCCATCCTGTTGGCTGGCGTTCTGTCAGCCAACTGGGGCTGGGAGTCGGTGTTCTATGTGATGGGCGCTCTGAGCTGCATCTGGATGGTCTTGTGGGTAATCCTGGTGCAGGATAATCCCAACAAGCAGCGCTTCATCAGTGCCGAGGAACGGCACATGATCACCAGCTCGCTGGGCACCGAAACGAAGGTCGAACATCATCCAAAGGTACCATGGGGCAAGGTGTTCAGATCGGTGCCCTTCTGGGCAATTCTCATTGCTCACACCTGCAACAACTTCGGCTGGTATATGTTCCTCATCGAGATTCCGTTCTACATGAAGCAAGTGCTCAAGTTCAACGTGGCCAGCAATGCAGCCCTTAGCGCCCTGCCCTATTTCCCGATGATCATCTTCAGCATACTCCTTGGCAAAATTTTGGACACTCTGCAAGCGAAGGGTAAGCTATCCACATACGGCAGCTTTATCCGTATGTATATATGTACTTTTATCTGTATTCAATCCATATATATACATATATAATCCATATATCTATAATAATAGTCATATCCAAGTCCATATCCGGTTTCAGATTCAGTTCTATATCCGTTCGTATCAATATGATATTATCAAATTCTGTATCCACATCCTTACCAATATATCTATATCCATATCCATATTTATATCCATATCCATATCCATATCCATATGGATATATCCATATCCCCATTCAATGCTATAAAGTTATAAGTCCATATCATTATCCAGATTCAAATTCTTATCCATCACCTTATTCGAATTTCTATATTCCTATTCCTATCCCTTTCCTTATACATATCTATATCCAACCTTAAACAATACTCTGATCTACGTATGTTTTTAGGCAAAATAAGCACTACCTTTGCGAGGAAGACCGCCACCTCGATTTGTACCGTTATACCGGGAATATGCTTACTGATCTTGTGCTATATTGGCTGCCGGCACTACGAGGCCGTCTCTATCATGTCCGTGGGCATCGTGGCAATGGGCGCCATGTTCTCTGGCTTCCTATCCAATCACATTGACATCGCCCCGAACTTTGCTGGCACTTTGGTTGCGTTGACCAACACTGCTGCCACCTTGCCTGGTATTATCGTGCCCCTCTTCGTTGGCTTTGTTACCCATGGAAATGTGAGTGTTTCCAAAGAGACTACATATTTCAGAATCAATAGAATTTATCCTATCGCAGCAAAATATTGGAGCTTGGCGTATCATCTTTGGCGTCACAATCGTTTTGTTCGTTCTGGAGTTCTTAGCTTTCGTCATATTTGGATCGGGCGCCGAACAATCGTGGAACCGATCGGGTGCACAGAAGGATGCCGAAGTTAAGGATGAGAAGACACCGCTCAAAGATGTTAATGTACAGCAAAAGCCATAAATGCGCAATCTCGTTCTGTGGATCGAACCATATAAAGAATTTCACCTGCATGACTTTTTGTGTAGTTAAAGCACCGAACTGTCGCACTGGACTGTAAATACTACAAAATACCAATTATAGTTTTTAGTTTAACCTGTAATACTAGGTATACTCGTATCTGTGCATCTCTCTATGGACACTACACTACACTACACTACTTCGTTTACCCGCCTATAACATGTACTTAACAAACGACAGGAATTCAAATGTTAATCCGCCTACAGACAAAAATATAATAAAATTGTAGTAAAATTGTTGCCTTTGATCTGGGTGTATGGTTAAGCATATTGTTATACTGTTATACAGCTGAACTATTACGGTGTTTAATGTGATTCTCATCCACAGCTGTACTGGTATTGTATTAAACTGTTATAAAGCTATTTTGGTATGCTGTTAAACTGTTATACTGTTATACAGCTATAATGTTATGCTGTTAATTTGTTATACTGCTGTACAGCTATACTGGCATGCTATTAAACTGTTATACTGTTATACTTCTATATACTTATACTGCAATATACTGCGTATAGCTGTATAACAGTATAACAGCTTAACAACAATACTGTTATACAGCTATACGTTTAAACTGGCATATTATTGTGTCCTATTTTAATACATATATAATTACAATATATACTATATTATATATATCATAAGGCCTTTCCAAAATTTGCCTACCATATTTAAAAATTCACATAAATTTATGTTTTTTTTCAAAACCATATTATTTTCTAAAAATCGTAGTCAAATAAGAGTGCACAGTATGAACCCATAGAAGTTAACTGTCATTAAAAAAAAAACTTTTTTACGCAATGCTGTATGTCACCGAAAATAATAAAAATCCATGTAAGTCTTATGCAGAGCTATTAAGGAATTTTAATGAATAGAAATGGAATCCAGTATATCTACCTGCACGTTTTATACTTGCATTCCTCGCAAATATCGGTCTGGCAATTGTCTATGGCTTAAAGGTAAATATTAACGTTACGATGGTGGCCATGGTCAATCATTCGGCTGCCCAAGGTGTCGAACATAATGTTTTAGACGGGAATATAACAAATAGGCAGCTTGGTTGTCCTCCACCGTCAGACACATCACCGAACCAATTAGCCGAGGTACGTAATATCATTTCAATTATAATTAATATATATAACTAAGATATCGTGTGGGCAGGATGGACCTTTCACATGGAGCGATACCCTTCAGGGCACACTGTTAAGCTCCTACTTCTGGGGCTATATGGTGTCGCAGATTCCGCTGGCACGCCTAGCTGAAGTATATTCAGCAAAGTGGGTATTCCTTGGGGCTGCTGCTGTCAATGTGATTTGCTCGCTGTTAACGCCGATATTGACGAATCTTCACTTTTCCGGTCTGATAGTAATGCGCGTTCTCCAGGGCGTTGCCGGTGGAGCCGCCTTTCCGGCGGTGCACATTTTAATAGCCAAATGGGCGCCACAGAATGAACGGCTGCTGATCGTCACATTGATCTATTTGGGCACTACGGTGGGCACGACAATATCGATATTTTTGTCGGGTGTGATATCCGTTCAGTTTGGCTGGGAGGCAGTCTTTTATATTATGGGCGGTCTGAGCATTATTTGGATAATCCTCTGGATATTCCTTGTACAGGATAATCCAGATGGGCAGGTGCTGATGTCCAATAAGGAACGCACAATGATCAAAAAGTCCTTGGCCGAAATTCGTCCAAAATCTCAAGTACCGTGGCGCAAGATATTTAAGTCAAATGCTTTTTGGGCAATTCTCATTGCTCATACCTGCAACAACTTTGGCTTCTATATGTTCCTCATCGGGATTCCGTTCTACATGAAGCAGGTGCTCAATTTCAATATCTCGAAAAATGCGCTATATAGCTCCATACCACATATACCTATGCTGATATTCAGTATTTCACTGAGCAAATTATTCGATGTTTTACAAAGTCGACGTTAGTATTGATATGACAGAGCTAAGTCCTTATAATTTATACTGTAATCTATTATTTGTAGAAAAGATAAAACGAATTACTGCCCGAAAGATCTCAACGGTTATCAGTACAATTGTGCCAGGGGTTTGTCTAGTTGGCATGTGTTTCATTGGATGTCTGCACTATACGGCCGTTGTTATTATGTCTGTGGGCATTATCGCCGGTGGTGCTTCGTACTGTGGCTTCCTCTCGAATCACATGGATATATCACCAAATTTTGCTGGCACATTAATGGCTCTGACAAACACGGTTGCCACAATACCTGGCATTGCGTTGCCTCAGTTAGTTGGTTATATCACCAATGGAAATGTAAGTTGTTTTCGAAATAAATCCAACTTCGAATTATGTTGTATTTTCTTTTATCTTTTTTTTTTTGTTAAAAAGCAAACAATTCATGCCTGGAGACTGATCTTTGGTCTCACCAATGTGATGTATTTTGTTGAACTTGTCACTTACACGATTATGGCAACGGCGGAAGTCCAACCGTGGAATGATGGATAGCAAAAGATGGCTATACAATTTTTAGATACTTTTTCTAACTTTTCAGCACTTATGTATAATACTTTCAATTCACGGATAACTCTAAATAAAAAGATCTAAGACATACAAACAAATTATAACATTTATTTTCAACGTATTTATATTTGAAATTAACATCTTTTGGCTTAATGTAGCTGTAAGTAAAGTAAGCATAACAGGAACTGAGCTGTTAATCTGTTAATAATGAACCAATAAACTGGTTCTCTGGTCAATTCATGTCGCATTGAAACTGGCGCGCAAGTTCGACATTTTGCCGTTATCGATAACAGTTACCTAATGTCTACTATTCATTTAATCGATTATAAAAACGAAATTAAATTAAAAACATAATTTAAGAACACCGAAAAAAAAAAAACAAAGTGTACATAACGCTTTCGATATATTAGCTTAAAATATGCGCAATTAGGAAATTTGAAATTTGAAAAACTATTCCAAAATTAGAGCTGCACCAAGAGGCACAACTCTGGTGAAGTCGCTGCTAGTGAAATTGCCGGTTGTGATAAAATGTTGAAAATACGCAACATTTGCCTTCTGCAGCGACGCTGGAAGAGCGGCAAGAGGCGTTGGAATGTGCTGCAGCACAAGCGCAACAATTGCGATCGTGCTCTGGAAACATTTGATTATTTCTATGGTTCTGTCTACGGCGGACGTTGGAAAAATATGCGTGCCGCCCTCCTCACCGAGCACAAATATGTTGCCATGGTAAATAATTTTGGGGACACTGAACAGACGTGTAGCATGCTGGAACTAGACGGTGCGATCAACATTAAATCTCTCATTCGGCTGGCAATAGAACGAGAGGAGATCGGCATAGAATCGAATATTCTACATAATCGGCATGCTCATTACGACATCGATGACAAACTGGAATCGTTGCTGCGCAAGCAACAGGAACGCGAAGTAGCTGCCATCTATCCCACTGCGGCAGAAGATGGACATGAGCCGCCAAAACAGCTGAGCTACGATAGGAAGAATAGCGACATTGACACAAAAGGGCAAAAAGATAGTGAAAAGGAGTCCTCGTCACTGGAGTTTACGCAAAGTTTGACCAAAGCCTTGGAGCAAGATGTGCAAGTGGATGAAAGCCGTATTGTGGATCCACAGTTTGGCACAGGCGGCCTGTACGAGTATGTACCCGCCGATAGCATCAAGGGCATGCAAGATTGGGTGGCCGAATCGGAACATTATAAATATTATCAAACCAGCACCGATTTTCCACTAATAATCGAGCCCGAGGCCATATTTCAATATCCCGAACACTTGGCCATTTACACGTATGAGATGGGCAACTGTGCGGAATTTAAGCCACCCAGGCAATGTTTAACTGGTGTCCTGTCCCATTTTCTAATGGACGGCGCCTCTGTTCTGCCTCCACTTTTTCTGCAAGTGCAGCCAGGGGAACGGGTTCTTGATGCTTGTGCAGCACCAGGTGGCAAGTCACTGCTAATGCTGCAGACGCTACACCTGGATCAGCTGGTGTGCAATGATGTACAAGAGTCCAGGCTGAATAAGCTGCGACGCGTCATGCAGGAGTACCTTTTCGATTACAAACAGCGTTGGGCGAGCAAGCGGTTGATCTTTAGTCAGAGTGATGCGCGAAATCTAGACGAATATAACAGCTATGACAAGATACTGGTGGATGTGCCATGCACCACAGACAGGCATGTTCTCCTGCATCAGGACAATAATATATTCAAACCAACACGCATCAAGGAACGTCTGCGCATACCCGAGTTGCAGGCTGGCATCTTGGCCAACTGCTTGCGATTGCTCAAACCTGGCGGTAGCTTGGTTTACTCCACGTGTTCCTTGTCTCCAGTACAGAACGATGGTGTCATCCACATGGCACTGCAAAAGGTCTTCAACGAATATGGCATTACGGCTCGCATCAAAGATCTCAGCCAGCATACAGCGCTATTTAGCGATATTTACAGATTTGAGCAGCCGAAAGGCTTGAAATATGGACAAATGGTTCTGCCCTATTTACCAGCCAACTTTGGACCGATGTATTTCAGTAAAATCACACGAAATACCTAATGTTAAACATTTTAATTAAACCAAATTCTAAGATGTAAAGCAAAATGTGCATGAGAGGAAACAGATATGTTGGGTACACTAAGTGCGTTTTCTATAATGGGTATATAGTTGCCTTTAATCTTACATCTGTACACTTTTAATGCTAGTAAATTCTAGAATGTATATTGTTAAAGAAGAAACTAAATACTTGTTACAACCAAGCGTCTTTTTGAATGGCTTCACTCCCTGAGAATTAAGTGAGGTAGAAATTTTTTTTAAATGTTAGACGAAACTAAAATACACGAACAAAAGAAACAGACCAAGGATTTGCTGTTTAATAGCTGCTTACAATATATATAAAATTATAATTCATATTCATATTCATAATTTGACATTTACAAAAAGTTTCGCATCCGAGTTGAAGCAAGGTTTTTCATATTTGTTTGTCAGTCTTCTTTTTCTTTTTGGGCTTAACGGGCAGTGGTCCAGGCGTCTTAAAAATAGTGCTGCAAGCAATCATATATAAATAAATGGTTCAAGTTAACAACTGCGTCACTTACTGGCATGTGGTACAGATGGGACTGTATTTGCAAAAGACAGACAGGCAAACGGAGCAAACGTAGCCAATGTCAATGAGCTCGCGATGGCAGAAGCAGGAGGCGCGATAGTCAACCTTAGGTGTAGGGGGCAGCACCAGCTTGTGACGCATCTGCGGTGATGGTAGGAAGACCCACAACAAGTACTGCAACAAGCCGTCCAACTGATTAACTTTAAGGAACTGACCATTCGTTATATCACAGCCCTGTTGCAGTAGACTGAGTGTCTTGTCCAAAGCGCAGGTGTCGACCACAATGCCCAACTTTTGGGCCGTAAAGAAGACATTCATGTATGTCATATACTGAGAGGCGCACTCATTGCTGCCCGTGAGCACCAAAATTCGTGAGTGCATCTTCACGCCAGCTGGAACGTTTCGTTGAAGCTGCAAGAGCAAAAATAATTAGAATCATGCCAAGCAACGAAGTAATCAGAAGGGAATAGGTTGCCTACTCGAGATATGTAGCACAAGGCCATGGACATGCTGCCAGCCAGTAAACTTTCGCAGGGAGCGCTCAATCGCGGCGCATTCATAAGTATGCTGCCCAGCTGTTGTTTCACCGTCTTCTCCACCAAACTAAACGCCTCGTATTGGCCGTCTATTTGACGCAGCTCAACATGCCTACCCGGCAAGGGGAATAGAAACTCACTGAGAAGCAAAACACTCGCTTAATAAATATACACTCAATGCTTAACCTCCACCTACGTGGTGTAATGCGAACAGGATAGAACAGCCAATTTATTTTGTGCCTTCTGCATGAGATGCGCATTGCCAAAGGCGATGACAGCCTCCAGAATCTGTGTTAGATTTTGTGGATTTTGGCGTACAATCTGCTGTGATGGATTCGTGTCCAGCACTATGGCCAACAGATCAATGCTCGCCTCAGCTTTAAGATTACAATATTAGTTGACTTTTCATTACGTTTAATCATTTAAAATATACCTTCTTTACTTGCTGCTACGTCTGGTATCTCCATTTTTGCCGGCAAAACAAAGCGCTGTGTTAATGTAGCAAAATGATTTCAAGGTTGTGCAAAAGAGTTCACGCGTGTGTGAATTGCAGAACGTCAGTTGTTAACATTGTCTCCAGAACTGTTTATTGAAATTGTTTTCACTCTATTACAGTCCATCAATTAACCCAGACTTAATAATGTATTTGAATACAAAAAGAACATTTAATTTAAGTGCGGTTTTTTTAAATCAATGTGCTTGATTAATATTTAAACGTGACGTCATAGGCAGGAATTTGTATGCTGCACCCTCTGCACTATGCGAATTGCTCGTGCCAGAGCTGCCACTGTTACCAATTGCTTTTGCCATTCAATGAAAAACGCGAACACTCGAAACAGCTGTTCTTGTCAGCACTGAAATTTTTGTTGGGCGTTTCACCAACTTTTTGTTGATAAAAACTGTGTTAAACACGTATTACATCCGGTTTTAAGAAACAAGAACATAACACATCCGTATAATGCTTGTTCTAGTACTTGGCGACCTGCATATACCACATCGCTGCAGCAGTCTGCCGGCAAAGTTCAAAAAGCTGCTGGTGCCCGGTCGGATACATCATATATTGGCCACTGGAAACATCTGCACCAAGGAATCGTATGACTATCTTAAATCGTTGGCCAACGATGTGCACATAGTGCGTGGTGATTTCGATGAGAATCTCAGCTATCCGGAGCAGAAGGTTGTGACAGTGGGTCAATTTCGAATTGGCCTCTGTCATGGGCATCAAGTCGTTCCTCGAGGCGATCCAGAAGCTTTGGCCCTAATCCAGCGCCAACTAGATGTGGATATATTAATAACGGGACATACGTACAAATTTGAGGCATACGAGCATGGCAATAAGTTCTACATAAATCCGGGCTCAGCCACAGGCGCCTTTAATCCGCTGGACACGAATGTGGTGCCCTCCTTTGTGCTGATGGACATACAAAGCACCACGGTGGTCACCTATGTCTATCAACTGATTGGCGATGAGGTCAAGGTGGAGCGCATTGAGTATAAGAAGATATAACCAAGTATTAGCAGCAATTCATTCCGCACGCACTGATATATCCGATCTGTCTTTGATCTTGGCTTAAACTATGTGAAAATCTGAATATATAAATATATATAAAAAATTGTATAAATTAAAACGCGCTTCTTTAATTTTTTTATTTAATAAAAAATGTTTAAATTTTATTTAAATAGAATATAAAAAGAGTTCTTATTTTTGCTCGATTTTCACTGTTGACTCTGGTGTCTCGCTTACATGTTCAATGTGCAAAAAATGATTAATTTTATAATTGAATGAAAAGTCTGCATAAAAATGTTGACAAAGTTGCGTGCATTATTCTCATTACATTTGTAGTTAATATATAAATACAGTTTGGATTCTCGCTCGGTTAACGTCGCATTGCTTTCTTGCAGTATAAAATAAATATATATAAATTTATTGTTTTTATTTTTTCTGATCTGTTTTTTTGTGAATACTTTTTGTTTTTGCCCCACTTTTTTCACGATAGCAGCAGATTTGGCAACAATTTTCTAAATTCTCGTACGTTACAAAATATAAATGATAAATACACAAATACGAAAACTCTGTTCTTAAAATTAGATTGTTTAGCTTTGCTGCAATCCACTTGCAATTAGTTGAATGCGGCTTTTTAAGGGGATAGGGAGGTGTCTTGTCATATATATATTTTTTTATTTAAAAAGCAATCAACGACGCCCTCGGGATCCCTGATGTACATGCCAAGGCTTTAGCCCAGGCTGTCGACGCACACAGTCTTGAGGGTTTTGCCATTGATGAAGGTCTTGTACTGCTCCGGCAAAGCCAGTTCGGTCTGCAAAAGTGATAAGAAATATTTCACACAATGATGATATACGTTATTTCTAATGTCAATTTTACTTACATAATCGCCATTTGCCTCCGGCAAGAGTATATTCATCTCGGATGACTTGGAGCTGACAATTTCAACGCCCAGCGAATCCTTGGACAAATACATTTGACAGCCGTCGGTCTTATCGATCGACACCGTTGGCACCGAGCCCAACACCTGCATCTGAACGCTCTGGCAGTTGACAAATTCAACGGAGGCAACCACCGAATCGAAAAGCAGCGAACACTTTTTGCACGAGTCTAGGACAATGTTATTGACCTTGCCCTTGACAGTGAGGGTAGAGCCCTCGCAGCGGAACATGTACACCACATTGTTCATTTCGGCATTGTCAACAACTAGACCAGCGATGTTCTTCTGATACTCAATTAGCCACTTTTTGCCATCGCGCGTGAAGACAGGCTCCTTAACGGGCGCAGTGCTACGGGCAACTGGGGCGCTGGTGTTGGCGGGCGTCTTGAAAGGCGCAGGACCAGTGCGCAGCGATGCATTCTTGTGGGTTTGCATGTCGCCGGTTACCTTCTTCAAGTCTGTAATAAATATTAATTAGTTTTCATTTCTCAACATCACTTTAATATTTTTCCATACTCTTGGTTATGTCAGCGCCTTGATTGATCTGCGCAAAGAGCGCGCTGCGATCATCGCCCGCGCTGTCCAGCTTCAAGGCATTCAGATCTAGTGGAGGTGGTGGTGGGGGCATACCGCCGGGTGGTGGCGGTGGTGGTGCACCACCAGCGGGTGCTGCACCCTTACCAGACCACACCAGACCCGTGGTATGATACTGCTTAATGTAGGCCTGCATATCAGTTAGGGTTTGAATCCAGGCGCGTGCCCATTCCACATGCTTGTCATCCTTCTCCTTCCACTCCTTAAGCACACGGTTCGTATAGAATTGACCGGCGTCCTTCATCTCCTTCACATAGGGACCGGGCATCGATGACGTGCACACCCAGCCCAGGGCGGGTATACTCTCGCTAATGGCCGACAAATGATTGAAGAACGCCGAGGTGCGATGCTTTTCACGGAAATCTTGGATGGCGCTGATTTGCGTCGATGTTGGCTGCAGCAATTCCATTTGCTTCGCCTGCGCCGGCTTAGCAATCTGCGTGGCCAGCGTCACATAATGCAACTGGGCGCTATAAGTTCAAAATCAGATTAAGTCAGGCAAAAATGCAGCACGAAATGCAGTTACTACTCACTCAAATGCAGCCTTCACAATTTGCGCTTGCTGAGCCACATCGCCGCCGATTTTGGCGGATAGTGCCAAATACTCGCTGCATGGCCCGGCGAGAATATCCTCATAGCCGGCTACACTCATGTTGTTGCTGTGTGTTGTTGTTGGTGTTGGCGTAAGAGCTGGGGGTGGCGGTGGCGGTGGCGGCGTTGGTGATGATGCAGGTGTGAGTGGTGCTGGCTCCGACACTGCTTTGTTTATTACCTCTGACTGTGGCTGTGGCACTATCAGCGTATGCTCCAGCCGATCCACTAAAGTTTCCAAACGTTCGCAAATCCTTTCCAAATGCTCAACGGCAGCCGTGGGCTTCGATTCCGACTCGTTGTTATCTGTTAATGAATTAACAATTTCAATTTTAATTCAAGTTCGCTATAAAGATTTTGTGCCTAATAACAAAAGATGTGCGTAAAAAATGTAAGCGTAAAAAATATTAATATATATATTTAATCATGATAAAAACATTGCACAAAACGTGTTCACACCCCGTCTACGAAAAAAAAAAAAAAAAAAAATATAATAATAATGTAATTGTAATTGATGTCATCGCAGGGTATGCAATAAAAACAAATTTGCATGAATCACTGAAAACGACAAAAAACGCTGAATGATAATGTTGACTATGACGATGACGATGACCATGACGATGATGATGATGACAAGCAGAGATCAGTGAGCGACTATAAAATGAAAAACTTTCAGGTGCAGCATATTAAAATAAGTGAGTTTAAAGATATGTATGAATACAGCTTAAGCGATTTGATACCCTATAAAAGCTAGCTAGAATGAGGTATGATAATACAATGGAAAAAGCCTAATTTGAAGACATATAGATTAGGGAATTGTAAGTACTTTTTATAAATAAATATTTTTCAAAATATTTATATAAAAAAAACTAAAATATAAATTTTTAAAAATTATTTCAGAGGTGTCTGAAAATGTTTAACTATGCTATTTGCTCTAAAATCTAAACCTTTTCCTAACTAATATTCACAGCTTAAGCTTAGGTCTTTTTATACTATATGATGAACTATTTTATAATAGAACTAAAAAATCAATGCTAAATTTAATTAAATCTTCAGTTTGTTAAGAATCATTCATAGCTAAACGAGTCAAAATTGAAAAGTTTTAATGAACTCATGGGAAACTCTTAGTAATTTTAGTAACTGCTATTTACTTGTGTCTTCATCTCTTTATCTTAAATTGAAATAGACTTATATCTAGATGAAAAGTATTATAGATAAAAGACGAAACTTCTTAAAAATTCAAATAGAGAAAAGGTGTGTGTGTTTCGTAAAGAATATATAAAAACATTCACAGGAACAAGATGATAACTGCACTTCAAAAACAAACACGTTATCGATAGGTATATAACAAAAGGTGCGATCGATAACGCAACGCATGCAACGAACAATCGGAACGAGTTTAACAATTGAATTCCATTCATACCACGCACGGCCACGCTATGCTCCACGGCTGCGTGTGCGGCGCGCAGAAGTTCCGTGTAGAGACGCTGACGTTTCAGCTCCAGCTCATCCCGGCCCACGGGTGTCACAGGTGGCTCAATGCAGCCGCTGCATGCGTACGACAACAACAACAACGATAACAATAGAGAAAAATGTGTGTTTAGACTAAGTGTTAATGGCTAATACGATAGAGAACGCGTACATCTCATTCAATCGCTCATCGTCGAACCAGGCGGGCAGTCCGTGGGCAAAGGCCAGCGTCTCCGGCAGCAGTTCACCCTCTATGTACGGAGCACACATGCTCTCCCGCTTGGGCGGCGGCAGCGAGTCGGAGAACACGTCATCATCATCGACCAGCGAGCTGTTGTTGTTGTTGTTGTGATTGGCATGAATCAGCAGCGATGTGTTCAATGGATCTGGCTCAATGATCTCGGCTCGATTGCTTATGTTCACCTTCTTCTTGATTGACTGATGCGTCGAATTGTGACGTGAGAGGCAGCTCTTTGTGGGGTGCGAATTGGCTGGTTGTGGCTCATAAACCGGCTGCTGCTGCTGTTGCCGTTGTGGCATTGCAATTGACGTTGGCTCATCCTCTGTGGCGCTGGTCATCGATGCGGGCGGAGCGGTTGATGTGGATGAGTGCGTCGAACGCTGCACTGGCGACGACGAAACAGCGCTGATAGCTTCTACTTCAAGGGCTGTGAAGATGCGACACAAAGCGCGCATTTATATACATATATAGATTTGATCAGCAGATCGAAAGTTGATAAAGTTAGGTTTATGAATTTGTAAGCCCAGCTTAAAGTTGGAAAAAAATTTCCACTCTTTCTAGCAGAGATAAAGTCTAATTTATAATAAATGAATTATTATCGCTCAAGAAAAGAAAGGGGTATATTGGTTTCATAGAATGCTATTGAAGCTAGGCTTGAAATTTGGAGACTTGCGAAGAACTTTCCGGTACGCCCCTTAAAGCGTGGCAAATCGGGAAATACTATATAGTATAAGAAAAACGTAATTCTGTAAAAAGTGGGCGTAGCTCCAAAAAAAAAAATATTATAGTTAAGTTAGTGGAAAGTTCTTGAGATTTGCCAAAACCGATTTAATTAATTTTGGACCGTAAACGAGTATTATTTAGTCAGTGATGCCCGACTGCAGCTTTACAAAATATATATATTTTTTCGTCACTGCGATTTTTTTTTTGATGACGCGTGAAAGATAACGGCTTTACCTTCTTAATAAGATCGGAATAGGAATACTATATCTTTCGGATAAAGCTTTAATAATATATAGTCTAAATTTGATTACTACATCGTTTCTAAAGATTGAATATATAAATGTGAGACATTAATTGATTTAGGATATGTACTTATGCAGTTACACTATTATATATATATATATATATATATATATATATATATATATATATATATATATATATATTATACATATTATATATATATAAGTAACTGACTGCTGGTCGTGCTCTGTATCATTTGCTAATAAGGCAAAATAATAAGGAAAATAAGCTTAATGAGGCGCTGATCCTGGGCTGTTGGCATAGTTTTTTTTTGGCACCAAGCTCCAGGGACCTGCAGCCAGGTGCAATACACAATAGCAGAGCGTGTGTATTAAAGCTCCCAGTAGCGGGACAGCATATCCAATTGTGTATATAGAACTAAATGATATACAAATGAAATACATGTTGTGAATACCAGTTGGGGGCTCAATATGAACAGAGTCCTGTTCGGTTTCGGCAGCTAGTTCGGTTTGGGTTTCAGGTTCTGGCTTTGGTTCTGGCGCTGGTTTTGATTCTGGTTGAGGTTGAGGTTGAGTTTCGGCTTGTTGCTCAGGCTTTGATACCTGACCATTTGCTTTGACCTCCTCCTGGGTGACCTGTTCGTTAGCTGTATCTGTGGGCAGCTGTTCGTTTGTTACGTTCGCATCGTTTTTACACTGTTTATCCTTGTCCTTATCCTTTTTGGCAGTTTTTGAAGTTGCACGACAACATGAGAACATTTTTGCAGCTCGTGTTTGACTTGGTTTGGTTTATGGATACTTTAAAAGTAGTAGTATATGAACGATTTAGGTAGGTGTCACATTAAGATTATGCAATTTCCGTATTTTTTTTTACTTTTTTATGCTTAAGCTCATTCTCATTTACAACAGCAACAACAGGAATGAACACAACGTCTAGCAGCCATACAAAAATCGGTTAGGCATATGACGAAAGCCGCAAAAGGAAAAGAAAGTAGCTGTAAAAGAAAAACCACTCCTTAAGCTCCCTATATCGTATAACGCAAATCGTTTCACACGCACTTGAACGCAATATTTTTTCCTGTCTGCTTTTTTTCGCGTTTGACATATGAAAAATTAGCAAATTAAAGCACTTTTCAATGTTTAATACAGAGAGCCTGGGCAGAGCACTATGGGGCACGGCAATCACCCAACTGGGTCACACACACGCACACAGAGGCACAAAGCTCCACAGCTGCTGTTGAACGGAACACACCCTAAAAAAGGGCAGCAAACGCGCGCACGCACAGGACGCAAAATTAGTAAAAATTTCGTTTAACAGCGCAATGTTAATGTTAAGGTCATGTTAATAGTGGCGTGAGTACAGCTTGTTGCTGTTTTTCGGCGTAGCTTTAACAGCAGCTTCAGCAGTGCTCCCCCTTCAAAGGTCACAAACGAACCAGTGAACGGATGAACATCAGCATTAAAAATTTGCCGACGCAAAAGCAGCAGTGTAAATGCAGCTTAATAATATGTTGCAGCATCCGCTAGACTGCACTTTTACTGCAAAATTGTACAAGCAACTGAGTGCGCATTGAAAGCAGCCAAAAAATTTGCAGACAACGTTTCGCTTTGGGTACAGGGTCAACAGCTGAAAAGAAGCTGGTATGGAGAAAGCTTCACGGTGGCCATAGCAACAACAATGTAAAAGAGAGTTTGTGCGTCAATGGAGAGAGACGGGCAGCCAGAGAGCGTGAGCGCAAAAGCTATGCAGACTTTTTGTTATTGTAAGCGCTGCAGCAACAATGAGTTTATTGCACCGGGGCTAACGTTGTTGCTGTTGTTTAACAGCAGTTAAATGCATTAGCTTACAAATAAATCTTGGCAATTAGAGTGAGAATACGTCTGCTTGTGCCTACAACTTTCGCTCCGTAACAAAGACAAGTTACAGTAGGATGTGAATGTTCATACGTGTGTGCGTGTGCCTGTTGTTCTTTTGCAAGCATCAAACGCATTTCAAATGCTCACGCACTCACACACACATATGTAACACCAACAAGAGCAGATTAAGTGTCTGTTGTAGTTGTACCGTTATATGCGCTGTTGATGCGCGGCTCATATAACAATTAATTAGAAATTAAACCGGCTGCGTGTTTATGACCAAAGCAACATAGGTAAAGAAGAAAGAATATGTTATCTATGTATGAGTGGGGCTTTCATATATAATTTTTTTTTTTTTGCTGATAGCGCTTTTTGGCCATCTTTGATTCCACACGAATACACACACATACATGCATATATACATACATTTGTTCGCTCTTGCGTAAACTTGCCAGCCAACTATCGGGGTGTGAGTCAGAAAGTAACAACGATAACAACAACAAAAACAACAATGGCCGTATGTGAAGCGGCAAACAGCTGAGAACTTCCATAAACTATGCACTGCTAACAATACCATTTATAGTTAATAACTATTGCACATTTGTAATCGCGCATTTACGGTAGTTTAAGTATTCATATGTACAGCGATAAGTAAAATTAAATTGTAAATGAAATCATCATTAAAAATATACCAAAACAGTCACATACACACACGCAGGCAAACAGCTACACATTACACACATATTAATGGATGTGTGAATGTATTTAATTTAACAAACAAAATGATTCATACAAAAATAGCCTCAATATATCCAAATGGCTCGAATAGCCGGCAACACAGCTGTCTCCTGTCCTCAAACGCACGCCCACACTTGCATATAAATATATACATGTATATATATATATATATATATATATATATATATATATATATATATACACGTACCCCGATATATATACGTGCCATTTTAGAATTCCAGACAGCCTGGCCGCAGGAATTGTAACTGTAACCCCACCCATTTCTCAAAGCAGCCGGCACTTTTACGCTGCGCTGCTTGGCACTCCACGAATTGTAGCATTTCTATATATGTATACATTTTTTACGCACATTTTTTTGTATTAAGAAAAGCACATAAATATTTAGCACACACAGACATACACATATCTAAATATTGTTGTAATTGCACTTACCACAAATTTGTAATAGTAGCGCTGAATTTCTTAATTACCAATTTACCGCTGCCAGAGAACAATTGTGTGCGAAAAATCGACGACGAGTGACTAATTTTTCGCTCGTTCATTTGACTAACATCTGTTTTTAACAGCGAATATGTTTAACAGATCTGTGCAATGCTATTAACAGCGAGCATTCAACCATCGCTAGTTGCTTATCGATTCATTTGAGGAGCAGTTAATTTTGATAGGAATATGACTTACAAACTTAAAAAATGTAGTGTGTGTGTTTATATTACAGTTTATTAAAAATCTGTCTGACATATTATAACAGTTACCGGAAAGCTGGGTATATAAAGTGCTTTTTTAGCTGTTGCTTAAATTCGATAACATGTAGATGCTGCTCAGCACTGATTTCCCAATGGTATCGATAACAAACTAAGATATTCCAATTAGGATTAGCGGCGCTTTTAAATTTTCAAATGTTATTTTATAATAAAAAATCGACTCTTAGTTCCCTTCTCCTTTAATGATTTTAACAATAAAAATAAGTTTAATAATGCTTCACAAATATGAAAAATATTTCATTCGTGCAAATAATCCATAAGGAAAGGTGTATCATCTGGTCCATATGGTGTTAAAGGAACATCATAAGGCAAGGGAAACGCAGGCACACCATCACGTGCATTGCCCAAAGGAAAAGTGTCTTTTCCAGTCTACAAAAAAATTTACAATTTAAGGCAATTAAATGGAAATACTTGAAAATTAACGCACCACAAATTTTGGCAAAAACAGAACACCCGCCTCGTAGTTATAGATGCGTAGACAAGGCTGTAAATTTGACTTTTTGTTAAAGGCGCCCCAGGCGGCTTTCGAGAGATTCGCCGAGGTGAGCACAAACCAATAGACGCACTGGTCCTCCAAATTGAAACGAGTATAGGTCTTGATATGTGGCATAGCTTGCGAGCGATGTCGATCTCCGGATTTCCACTGATGCAGATAATTTTTGAGCCAGGGCTGTTTGTCGTTTGTGCTCTTTCCATAGGGCAGACAACCGCCACCGAGCATGCCATCGTGACTGCGCGACACATTACCAAAACTGGGATAGATCATCTTAAACGGTGGTAGCTGACTCAGTCGCCATACTGGCGTTGAATCCTTGCGAAAATTGCTGAGAATATCCTGCTCTATCCAGGGTTGAATGTTCGCACCCAGGCTGCCAATGCTGGAGCTCTGACAGACAACAGGTATATCGGGCTCCACGTGCGTTGCATGCTTGGCCAGCAACGAACCAAGACGTGCACAGCCCCAAGGATGGCCACGCACAGCGCCCTCACGATGTCCGCCAGGCACCGATCCAATAAAGAAGACACTGTGAAGGAAAGACATATTTCATGTTATTTTAAGTTTTCAACCAGAACTTATTGAAAACGCTTTTACCATTAGTCAGGCATTGCTAAGATTTAAAAAGATTCAGTATTCCTTCCTACTCACTTGATGGCGCTGAAATCACTTTTGCGTATGCGCGCAATCCACGGCTGCAGATGGGACAACTTGTACTCCACCAAATATAGCATAAGATCCTGCTTAAAGCCTGTAGGACTCTCGCCAGCTGTTGTATCTGCATCTTCGGGCAGTGCAGGCAACCGTGGACTTATCCACAAGCCCTGCGTGCGGTTGTGCCAATCGTCCTCGTACAAATTAGCCGTAGATATGACAACACGCATTGATCCATCTGTATAGCCAAGTAGCATCATCTTCGTATGCGATGTGGCAAATGGAGATTGCATTTGCACTTTAATCGCTGTAACCTGTGGCTTAAATTTTCCAATTTCAACCAGGTCCGGATTTTCAGCACCATAGAGCACCAATAGAGGCTTGGAACTAGAAGAGAATTGAAGTGAATGCAATGAATATACAGACAGTCTAGCTGGCATAAGCTCTTATACAACACTCTTATACTATACCAGCTTACAGAATGCCCGCAAAGTAATAATGGCCCAGCAGCCAGCCTATGTCTATCATAAAATTGATTTGCACAGTCGACTCAATCTCGCCCAGACTCTCATCGAATATCTCCTGCAGTGTAATGCTGAGTGGCTCCTGATGTGTGGGTTTCGAGTCTGTGATGGCTGTGAGAAACATATTATAGGGCGCTGCTTGCTCCAGCTTCCGAGCCATGCGTCCCTTCTCTACCACAACAGCAACGTAGTCGCGAACATTGCGCTCTATCTTTGGCTTCTTTTCGAGATGTGATGTGTCCTTCTGAGTGCTAGCTTGGTGAAAGGCAGCGGCTCTACTAGTGTTGGCTTGGTCAGAAGCAGCGGCTCGACTAGTGCTGGCTGCGGGTGCTGAGACCTTCTTTGTTGCCGGCTTGGAAACAGCTGTCGGCTTGCCCTTGACTTCCTTTCCGGCTAACTGCGGGAATAGTTTCTCCAAAAGCTTAAGCTGTATATTGATTAGCTCACTGGAATACTTGGCGGGTATGTCATACTCATTGTTATCCCCATTGCAGCCGTTGGCATAAATTGCATCCACTAACAAGGGAAATAACGCAATTAATAATAGAGTACATCAAATAAAGAATTGAAACATTACAGTGTGCATGGGAATATTCTCCAAAATGAATGGGATTCTTGCGATAACATTTCTCGCCGTATGGACACTCCTGCATTTTATTTAACAATTTATTAGTTAATATATTAACAAAAAAAAGTCCAATAGAAACAAAAGCGGGAGCTGCAGTTGATGCAAAGTTGCTCTCTTAATTCTTATCGATGCCAAATCGATGTTATCGATATTATGTATCATGCAAATTGAGAAAGCCGCCAATTAAATCGCAAATTCAAAAACCACAAACCGCAAAAGTTAACTTATCTGCAAGACTTTTAACTGTTTAATGTAATGAGTCAATAAAGTTTATTAGACATGTAATTTTTGTTCTATATTTATTGCACTGAAACATCAACCGCATTTAAATAACTATATATAATATAATTAACATATAAATGAATGTTTACTTTGCATTGCAATAAGAAACATTAAGAAATCACCGTTTCAACAAGAAGGATGTCAAACAATTGTTATCCCTCGGGAAAGGTGGCCAATATACTGGACCATGAATATAATATGTCACATAAACGCCGTGGCAGAGCGTTGATCTTTAATAACAAATACTTTGAGCAGCAACAACTTCCAACACGAGAGGGTACGGATGTGGATAGCAAAAGCCTGGGTAAAATTCTTCAGCAATTGGGCTTTAACGTTAAGGAATATACGGATTTGACTAGCAGAGCGATAATTCGAAAACTTAACAAAGTCGGAAGCCGAGATCATTCGGAATGTGATTGCATTCTAATAGCTATACTCTCGCATGGTAAAATGGGCTCGATTCAAGCGAAGGATACGGATTATCCGCTGGAGAGCATATTGAGCCCCTTCAAGCCTGAGCGATGTTCTACGTTGGCGGGCAAGCCGAAGCTATTCATCATTCAAGCCTGTCAAGGGGATCACAAGGATCCTGGTCATTACCTCCTGGAACCCTGTTGTACTGCAGGCGACAACGAATCCTTTATGAGCTATAGAATTCCATTGCACGCTGACTTTCTGATTGCCTTCTCAACTATACCCGGTTACTGCTCCTGGCGCAACACGGTCGAAGGTAGTTGGTTTATAAAAAGTCTTTGTGAAGAGCTGAGCGCCTGTGGTACAACTCGTGATATATTAACACTGTTGACGTTTGTTGCTCAGCGTGTGGCCTTCAATTATGAAAGTTTTCATCCAATAGATGTCAGCTTGCATCAGAAAAAACAAATAACGTGCACAATGTCGACGTTGACCCGTATTTTGTATTTTCGCGATAACGGCGAAGCGGACAATGAATAATTTTGTAATTCATCCAATCACTTTAAGTAAATATTTTTGTTAAAAATATATATTTAAATTTACACACTAGTTTGTGAAAATGAGTATTACATACTTCAATTTTTAAATAAAATGGTTAGAGCCATAATAAATATCTTCCCAAACATCCACCTCAAAAAAGTTCGTTTTATTTCTGACATCTCTAGCGCTAAGCGCCCAGCTAGTTGCTAGTGCTGCCAGACTTTGCACACTGCAAATACATTTCGATACCTATCGAAAATTATACAAAATAAAACAGGACGCGTGTGTGCTAGCATAATTAATTTAATTTCTAATATTTTAGGGTGGCAATACTTTAAAATAATTAATAAATAATATACCAATATATATTGTACGAAAAGCTGGCAACACAACAGTGTTGTAAAATATCATAAATGGTAGCTTATTCGTGTTGTACACACTTCGTGTCTGTCGTCGGTCGTTCGTCGTTGTCGTCGTCGTCGTGTGTGCAGTTCATGATAAACAATTTAAAATAAATAACAAATTTCACATACTTATGGTGCATTAAAGTAAACAAACTGGCCACAAAAGAAGACCACAAGTGTTAAATTGTACGAGTGAGTAGATTTTAAACAGTTTTATGTGCAAATCCATTGGCAAAATTAAGCAGCAGCAGCAGTGCAATTACGTTTGGTTGAAAGAAAATTTTTTTCTTCTCATACTACATTACTTCTCATTCGCTGCGCGCTGCTGCCGAAAGAGTCTCTTGGCTAGCGTCGTTGTTGTTGTTGTTGTTATTGGTGTTGTATATGCTTCTGCTGCTGCTGCTGTTACTCTTGCTCTGCAGGGATTACGATTACAGTTTTATTCTCAGCCTCTCGCCAGTTTTATGCTGCAATGTGTGTGTGTGTGAGTGTGGATATGTGCTCGTCTGTGTATATGTGTTTGTATGTTTTTGTGATGCGCGCGCCATTAATTGAACTAAAAAAAAAATTGAAAACAATTATAAATACACACAATAAATTCAAATATTTATTATGTTTTGAAAATACTTGAATGTCGCTTATCTCTGCACACAAATTTCTGACATTTTTGCTGCTCGTGCTTTAAACAAAAATCCACTTGAATGTTGTTGCTGTTGGTATTGCTATTGCTACTGTTGCTGCTGTTGTTGTTTGCCAAGCACAGGTGCGGATTAGCATTAAAGGGGTTTGGGGTCAGTTCATTGTTGCATCTCAGACGCGTGTTTTTGTTTAATATTATTATTAATATTTTAAATTAGTCAGCATTCAAAACAAATAATTCGATTGTTGTATCTGTGATGATTAATGAATTTAAAACGAACCTTCGATCGCCTTTTACCCTTATGAGTCAGAAAGAGAGAGAGAGCCTATTTCTATAGCTCTCTGCTTTCTCTCTACTCAAACAAATTGTTATCACTAAACGACAACGGGAGAACTGTGTGCTCTGTTATCAATTTCATCACACACCTTTCATTTTAATTTGTTTTGCTCTTTACTGTTTTCTATATTCATCTATACACACAGCTGCATTCACATTGCGTGCGCGTGTGTACATGTGTGTGAATTCACGCTTATCTACGCCGCGCTGCTTTTGTTGCGCTTCTTTTGCTGCTCTCTTTCTTATTGTTGTTGTTATCAGCAGCGCGCGCGCAAACCTTTCGTCCAGCGCCAGCAGAGGCAGCGCAGCACTTTTGTGGGGCGGCACTCGCACACAGGCTTATGTATTAAGTATTGCCTTCGTTACGCCGTTAGACGGTGGCCGCTGCTGTCGCTGCCAGCGCTAGCTTTGGCGTCGCTGCTTTTCCTTTGTCGAAGGTAACTGAAGCGCAACCCAAGACGTGCACTCAATTCTACACACACACAAACACACATGCACACTGTGACAAGTTGTGGGTGTGCTGATTTTGCAGTGGTTTCTGCGTATTTTGCGGTTCGCTGTGTGCTCTCCCCTTCGGGCGATATGGCAACTACATACGTCTAGCTAATGTTCTTTGTTGTTTATGCTGTGCTGATTGATAGAGATGGGAGCGTGTTTAATTCAATACGAATTCTAATTAGAAAAAGTTGGGAAGTCTTCGATGAAGAGTTCTACTTGAAAATTTGTATTAAATTATATTAGCACTAATTATTTTTTTTAATAAAATTAGATTTTGTTATATTTTTACATCTAAAAAAAACATAAATCTTTTTAAGACTATTTAATGTACCACATTTATATATTTATGTTCTGCAACATTTTACGACAGAGCACGACGTGTTCGAGGCATAATATTAAAAGAAAAAAACAAAAAAAAAAAAAACAAGAGTCGTTGCCAACTCTATCTATAGGTAGCTAAGTGAGCATAGCGAGAGTGGGTAAAAATAAAGCTCCTGCAATTTGGAAACTTGCTGCATCATCATAATGCGAAACGCTGTAAGGCTGACTCTGGTAGCAACTGATGCTACTCGTAGACTAGACGATTCGCCAAGCTGATAACGTCTTAATTGGAAAGTCAGTGGGCTGATTATTAAACGTGTCTATAAAGTTGCCTATACATATGTGTATAAATATATATATATATGTAAATCAAAGGAAATGCTTTAAACACAAATTATAAAATTGAAACAAAAACGACAAAATATTCATAATTAATTGAATTGGAAGACAAACTTCAAGGTTGAGATATATGAGATATTTATAGGCATTCTTCGAAAGCCTTAGTCTTCTTAATACAATCTAAGCTTAACATATATTCTCTCACAGATATCTTTCTAGCTGCTAACGTACTTCATGAGTAATATTAAAAGTCCCTGCTAAACTCTTTAAAAAGGGTATGCACGATGCTGTGAAAATAAAAATACCTTTCATACCACTTCGCTGTCTGTGACACGATAAGCATCTGTTTATACAAGCGCTTAATAAAGTTGTTGCCAGTCTATAACATAATAATTATAGTAATGTAAACAAAAAAATAAAAAAAATAAATAAATTAAAATAAATCCGATTGCGACAGGGTCTAAAAATAAGTTCAAATGCGTGTTGACAATTTTTTTTTAGCTTTTTTCAATTTTTTTATTACCATTGCGCGGATTATCGCGACAAGAAGATCAAGAGCAGCGCAAAAAGCAATAACAACAACAAAAAGAGAATTAAATATTTATATGGGGGATATCAACAGTCAACAAGAGGGACGCCCACAAGCAAAAAAAAGAGGAAAAAATGTATTCAAGCTGAAAATAAACTGAAAAGCGTAAATCACGCTTTCGATAGATTCGAAAATAGTTGTGCAGCGATAAGACCGGCCCCGCCCCCCAAAAAAGCACAACAAAAACAACGGGATTACGACTCAGGGCTAAAGCAAGACATGCAAATTTCATTTGCTTGCTGCGGGGCATGTTGCACAAACTGCGCATAAATCCAATTAATAACATAATTATTTAGGCGAGAGAGGCGAAAGACTGCGAGACCATTTGAAGCTCATTTACAAAATGCCGCTTAAAAGTCGTTAGGTTGCAACGTGCAACGTGCAACAACCTGATGCGTAGGCAGTGCATGTGCCGCCTTACCAGCTGGTTAGCTGGTTTCTAATCATGCCACATGCAGCATGCAACCACAGCCACCATTTCGTATGCAAATTATTTTAATTTTTTTAGTTATTTTTTCGCCCCGAAATTGAAATATTGACTTTGCGCACTTAATTTTCGCCAACCTGGCAAATTGTGAATTGCCCAATCAAGCTAAGACCAAGTAAATGTAAGTGTGTGTCTGTGTGTGTGTCTTGTGTGGATAAACAATATGCAACATAAATTAGAATAACCGTTGAACCGTAAAAACAAAACACAAAATAGACAAGAAACGTAGGCTTTTGGTCTCTACTAGTTGTAGTTGGTGGCGTGGGCGTGGATGATTTGAAGTACTCGAGGCAGTTGACTTCATTTATATACCTAGCCACATACATATCCATACAAATCGAAGGCGTCAAACGCTCCAGACGTGTGTGCGACTAGGCAAGAACTTACTTTGCATAGTTAAAAGTTCTTACCTTGCCTAAAATGATTTATGTTCTTTGCCATTTGATTTATGGTTCAGGCTTGGAAAAATTTAGATATAGATCTGAAGTGAGGGCAGAACAGAAGTATATATAAATAAAAACTAGACAATAATGATAGCGGCTTACTTTCACATATGAATTTATGTTTCGCGGCAGCTGGGAATAATTTTAACATAGGCTGCGTTGTCTGGAATTGTCAAAAGTTAATGCCTGGCTATGCTTCATTGCTTAAAGTAATATAGATGTTGTCATACTTTTTCATATGTATTAATATTTCATTTCATATTTCAAAACAACTGACTAGAGGTCAAATATAACATGAGGTACGAGGCTTGAAAGTGATTTGTAACTTTGCCAAATTGTATCTGTTAACAGGTATATATCTATTATTAATAACAACTTATATATAGTAAATTTATATTATAACAAGAATCATTGCTCGAAGTGCGTTACATCTTTGTGGATATAATTTTAACATGAGGTACGTCTTGCAGCATTACAGCATCTGAGGTTCTATAATGAAAGCAATAAGACAACTTTTACTATAAATAATAATAAGGATATTGATTTTAAAGCTAACTTTATGGTGAAAAATGGTTATAATGAGGATAAATTTAATATGAGGCGGCTTGAACTACCCTGTAGATTTTGCAAGTAAAGATTGATCTCATAAAACTAATGCTTATGAATTAATTTCCATATTATATAACTATAGACTCCATAATGACTATCAAACTGCTTCACGACAGCTGACATGAGGATAAATTTAACATGAAAAAACCGACTCATGAGTCTTCTATTCACATCCTTTGGCTCATCGTTGCAAATGTAGCTTTCATAAATTGCATAAGCAGCAATCATTTTCCATCACATGCTAAACTAGATGATAAATTTACAATTAACGTGAAAAGAAGTGTCTTTTTAAGATGATATCAATTCCAGTTAATAGCTAGATCAATCTTCAAATACCAAGAGCTGGGCTCAACTACTTGGCAAACAGACCGCAGACCACAGAGCGATAGCTGCAACTCCCATTCCCATTCTTGGATTTAA